CATTGTTAGGGAATTAAAAATTAAAGCAAGGAGAGGCTTTTTTAAAACCTATTGATGGACAGACATGAAGAAGTTTGTTTATACCCTGTGTTGGTGAGGGTATGGAGAAATAGTTATACACTGTGGATGAGAGTATAAATGTATGCAACCTCCTGGGAACAGAATAACAACATGTATTAAAATTTTACTCTACTTGTTCTTTGATCCAGTGACTCTTCCTGCACAAAGATGTATAAAATTAATCTTGCAACTGGAATCAACCTATTTAACAGTATATTAAACAAAGTTACAGAACATCCATTTAGTGGAATATTATGTAGCCATCAAAATAACCTAGCACAGATGGTGGAAAGTGGGGGTGAAGCAGATCCCCTGCAGGACTATAGTAGCACTATTTTGCTCCTAGGAAATGGGAACATCTGGATATACAAAATATTTGGAGAAGCAAACTGTTTGTCCCCGAGGCCTGTGACAAACTGGAAGTAGGAGATTGGTGAGGTTGGGGCAGCCTTGGAGCAGGCCACTCATCTATTTTATCACTGGAGGCTGGCACGGGGCAGTGTGAGCAGATGGTTGGAACAGAGAGCTGGTTCCCAGGGGCCTGGGACAGAAATCTATTTTGTAGTCTGTCTGAGGCTGCAGTTTGGAGCTGAAGGGGATGGAGGAATGACAGCTCTGGAGATTCCGTAGATCAGAGCCCTTCCCACAAGGTCCTGAGATGCCTCTGAGTCACCCAGTTGTCCACCAGACTTCATCAAAGTCCCAGTTGAATTTTTATTAGGTGTATATGGGGGTAGGTAGTCCAGTAGCTTCTAACTCACACCACCACCAGACAAACTATAGAGAGGATGGGCCCAAGTGTCCACATGCTCCAATCTTACAAGGCCCTGAATAGAGTGCAGTGTCTGCTTTCCACTTAGACACTGATGAAGAATTGCATGCATATTTACTAAGTTAGCTTGGGCAGATGCTATGTGAATCTACAAATGTAAGCATGTCTATGTTTATTGTTTACTCAGCAACAGCTAATCATTACTCAGCACTTACTTCTTGCTAGCCACTATCCTAAGCACTTTACCTGTATTGGGCCATTTAACTTCACAACAATACCGCAGCACCATTTTGCAATGGGAGTAGTAGGGTATCCAAGGCCATACAGCTGGGAAGTGGCAGAGCTATGGCAAATATCCGATTTCTCTTTCCAAAGGCCACGTGTTTACTCATATGCTTTACTGTCTACTACATCCTATGAGTATATGTAGTGTTAAGTGTGAAATGTGCAAAGATAAAACAACAACCTGCAAACTCTAAAAAGAAGGAAAACACACACACACAGAGTAGCTGGAAAATATTACCTTAGGCTAGGGAAGTTAGTCTTTTAGAGATGTGCAGAAAACTTTGCTCTAATTTTCCTGGCACTCGTGAATTCTGAGACAAAAGGGGTGACTAAAGGAAGCATTCTGAGGTTACTAAGATATTTACTGAACTACTCTTATCGAAAGGAATTCACTCTTTAATGGATATTATAGTCTGATCTTTGAGACCTGAGAGGAGTTTGTTATGTGTTTTTAGGAGAGATTTTAATAATGCTGTGGATCATGTCCTCAATAATAGTTTGACCAAAGGCAGAAACGTACACCCCCGTGGACTGTTGCTAAAATACAAAGCAATGTTGTGAAACCACAGTTATGCAAAGGCATTTTGACAGTGTAGGTTTGTGGCTTTCTGTTCCTGCAACTTAGACAAGGGCTAGAGTTCAGGGAAGGGAAAGGGATAACTGATTATCATGTGGTGCTTTTGTCAGGAGCTTTATGAGCTCCTTTCGCAGCAATGATGGTTGATGTTTACAGAAAAATGAACAAAGGTGTTGACTAGGCAATCAATTCTCAGAAGAGGAAATGCAAATGGCCAGTTGACTTAGGGAGAGATGATAACAATCAAAAGTGCAATTTAATTAAAATAAGTTGGTATAATTTTTTTATCAGATTGGCAAAAATGAGATGGTGTGACAGTATCAGGCCTTGGTGAGGCTATAAGGAAATAGCCCTCTCATGCTCTAGAGGAAGTGTGCACAGACGTCTGGACTTGTGAGGACTAATAAAGGAGCTGCTAGTGAAAATGAACATGCTCATCTCTTATGAGCTAGGGATTTCTCTTTTTGGAGGACCGATATTCATTTCTAAGTAAACACTGGCACATGTGTGTGCCAAGAAGATACATGAAGAAGGACATATAAAAGATGTTTAGTGCAACATTATTTTCAGCAGCAAAGAAGTAGAAATGATTTCAATGTCCATCAGTAAAAAAAAAATGGATCAATATTATGTAGTTTATTCACATGATGAAATACTTTGCTACAGTCATAATGAGTTTGGTCTTTTTTTTGCTAAAAATATAAATATGTGCATTAATACATGCAGTATAATACTGTTTACTTAAGATGTGCTTACACATTGTTTATGGATGCTTATACATACTCACACATACAACATATAAAACTATAAATGATTGGTCAATGGCTGTACTCCAAACTCTTCCTAGTGTGAAGGGAATGAGACTTTGTGTAGGGATTAGAGTAGGCTTTGACTGTATCTGTAATATTTTCTGTATTATTAATAGTAACAAAATGGCTAAATGGAAATAAAATTCCAATCTTGGCAGTTGTTGACCCTCACAGTAGGAATATTGGTGCTTGTCCCAGTAGACTTTGCACTATTCTGTCTTTTAAATTTAATTAAATTAAAGACCTAACCCAACAGTAAGTGCCAGAGTGCATGTGAGCTGTGTTGTGCCTTGGAGAGTGATACTCATACTTTCAAGGCTGTTTGGCCACTCTCATATTTTCTTAGGAATGTCTCAGGACCTGCTTGTCCTCAAGTCCTAAAGAAGCACCTCCCCACTCCCACACAGACAATGGTGCTCCCACAGGTGTCTGGAGGAAAGGCCAGCCTTTTCCACAATATGTTTTAATGTCCCAGGGAGCTTGAGGCCACAGTCCCAGACCAAGCATCTGGAAGAGGGGACCATCATCATGAACGTCCCATGAGCATCTCTATCTCAAAAGCACATTTCCATGGCATTGTAGAACATTGAATCTTGAGCAGACTGCAACCTCTTGGATTTGTCATGTCAAGATATTTGAAAATACGTCCACTCCTTTTCCTAAATTTCAGGAGAGGTGTTAATCTGTGTGTACTTTTAAAATGGTGGTATTTACACAGGACTTTTCTTTCTGTTTAGAATTGGTGATATATCTTAGAATATAACCCTGTGATTCATTCATTAGGACAATTCTTTCGTTTATTTGTTCACCCATTCATGTTCAACAGATGTTTATTATCTGTGATCGGCCTCCAAGATTGCTGCTCCCTAGTATACATGCCCTATATAATCTTCTTCCCTTGAGTATGCTGGCACTTGTGTACATGATGATATTTTACTCCCAGATAGAGTAAAAGTGAAGTGATTTTGAAGATGTAATGAGATCTCCACTCAGTAAACTCTGAGTTAATCAAAAGAGAGTATCTGGGTGGGCCTGACCTAATCAGGTGAGCCCTTTTAAAAAGTGGGTTCAGGCTTTCCCTGGAAGGAAAGAGATTCAAAACCGAAGAAACACTCTCTTTCTGGCTTTGAAGATGCAAACAGCCATGCTGTGGAGAGGGCCTTGTGGCAGGGAGTTGCGGGCAGCCTCTAGGAGTGGAGGGCCTCAGTCCTAGGACCTCAAAGAAATGAATTCTGCCAGTAATCACCTGAGCTCGGAAAAGGACTCCTGAACCTCAAATGGGATGCCAGCTCTGGCAGACACCTGGATTATAGCCTGGTGAGACCCTGAGCTCAGGATCCACCTAAGCTGGGCCTGGACTCCTGATCCATGGAAACTGAGATGCTAAGTCTGCATTCTTTTAAGCCTACTAAATTTGTTATACAGTAATAGAAAACGAATACAATATCTAAGTGTCAGTTACTGAGAACGCAGAATGAATACAACACCATTCTTGCTGCAAAGACACAATCTGGTGGAAGAGACAAATGTTTAAAAGACACAATTTAGAGTGAAGAGAGTTATCCTGGAAATTTGAATCAGGGTGTGCTCCTGGTTAACCATGGCAGATTGAACACACTGCTGCCCAAACCCTGCAGAATGCCCATAGAAGAATCCAAGGACATCAGCCCATAAAGGTGAAGATGATGTGAAGGGGACAGGGGGTGTGAGGGGAAACAGCGCTGTTCTTCCCTCTGGACTTACTGGCTGGGTGGTGTAAACCCGGCATTTTCTGTGGCTGTGATTTCCTTCTCCATTGACTACATAGAGGAAGCCTGTTGCCAGTAGGAGAAAATGAGGTCAACAAACATCGAAATAGAGCAGAGAGGTGAAAAGAGATTCCCGAGGATGCTTTAATGCCCTGGCTCCAGTTGGGCCTAAGGCTAACTTGATTCCCACCCTTCCCAGTTAAGCAAACCAGTAAACCTTAGGGATAAATCATGGATTATTTCCAATCTAAGTGTCCTGATTTATTAATACAGATATACTGCCCAGTTAGCACAGTAAAATAAGTTCTCAATAAATGTTATTTACTCTTGTCATTACTAAACTGATTATTCATACAAACTAAGCATTGTGATATCTTTAAGGGTGGCCACCTGATTTGGGGTGCTTATTAGAGAAGATGACTTTTGTCTGTTGAAAGACAGCATTGCAATACAAACAGTTCACTCGTATCATTCCGATATCCCAGGTGAGGCTTCAGCAGGCAGGATGAGATCTCTGGCTTGCTTATGATTTGTGGTCAACCCAAAAGGAGGCAAAGCACTGAGTTTCATTGAAATGATAGCCTGATGTGCTTCTGGATGCAAAGAGCCCCAAGGAAACAATCCACGCATGGGTGGTAGTGTTGCAGTGGGTAGTGTCAGACATGAGCAGACCGTGGGGGCTCCTGCCAATGAAATGTTGTGGGACAAAGATGGGAGACACCGAACAGAGTGAGTTCAGGGAAGTTCTTTATTAAAAGGTGATCACCTGGCTCAGTAGGACTAGTGTCCAGGAAAGTCTGAGCCCTGGACACAGAAAGCAGCCACCTTTTAAGCAGTCAGTGGCCAGGAGCTACATGAGGCAGGAAGCGTATTACAGAAGCGAGAACAAAGGCAGTTGATCAATCTTTTACATTTATCTACACTACATGTTCCACATCCCTTGGAAGCCATGTTTCTGCATCAACCTTGTAATTTTGCAGCTGCACTAGGGAGGTGACGCAGGAACTCACTGAGCCTCAAGGAATGTGAAACTAGCAAGTACAGATAAGGCTTGCTGAGCACAGAAGGAAAAACAGGCAGTTAGTATTCTTCTTTAACTTACACTATTGGGGAGCTACACTACACTTAGCTTTTGAAGGAAAAAGTAAAAATTTTTGGTTGTCTTTGATTATACTTGTAAAATTCATGAATTCCTTCTTCAACACAACCCCCAGGAATGTCAGGCGACCATCAGGTGATGGTCAGGTGGCTGTTAGTTGTCTCTCTAAAATAATAATTGGTCACAGCTGGCACCAGGGAAAGACAGTCTCTCAATAGATAGAAAAAACCTGAAACTGGTGGTCGGCAGCTTCCAGATGAAATGTCAGGAGTTGGGTGAGTGGGCTCAAGGATGCGCACTAAAAGACAAAATGGAGCATTCCGGTGGTAAGGGAAGAACCGTGAGTGAGCATGTGCACAACACCAGTAAACACACTGCGCATGCTCCCCTCCCAAGCGCTAGCAGGCCACTACTGCGCATGCGGACAGACCTCCCCAAGGGAAGAAAGGGAAGAATGGGGGAGAAGTAACGCAAGACACCGGAAGCATGACAACGTGTAAAACCCAAAGTCAGAGGTCAAATGGTGCACTCGATCTCTCAAGTCGCCTGCTTGCCCCTCTACTAAATATATTTCACGTTCTTCCATTCCTGCTTTAAAGCTTTTCAGTAAACTTTCATGCCTGCTCTAAAAGTTGCCTCAGTCTCTCCTTCTGTCTTGTGCCCCTCTGCCAAATTCTTCTGAGGAGGCAAGTATTGAGGTTGCTGCAGACACGTAATGATTCGCTGCTGGTAACATACTTTGGTACCACCTAACTCGGATACATTTGGCTAACAGTAGCTGTAGAATAGGTACCTGTAGCCCTGTCAGCCTCAGAGCCTCAGCTAGCAGCGGCTGGCCATGCCCCTCAGGTCTCTAACACACGTGTTCACCTCTTTTTCCAGAAAGGGAGATGCCATGTGCTGGCCCAGCACTCCAATTGGGGCCTGACCTCTAGGAACGGGACACTGGAGGAAGCCTAGACGTTTGAACAAATCAAGTCATCCAGATCCATGGTCAGCTCCTGCCCCGACTTGGCCTTCCTCCTGCTGGGCTGGCCCACGGACCTCAGGAACCTGCCCTGGCTGTGGGTGACCTGCAGGTACTGGTCAGCACTGCTGTTCTGCTGGTCACTGCTGGATGCTGCCGACACGGAGTCAGATTCCGTGAGGGATGGCTCAAACCTGGGCTTCCCTCTGGGCTTCAGAGGGGGCTGTGGGTATTGGAAATTCCGGGATCGTGGCTTTTTGGGCACATAGGCTGGCCTCTCAAGGTGACCCTCAAAATCTTCCTTCCACAACTTGTAGTGCACCCTCCCCTGGTGCTTGGGAGCCAGGTTCTGACTTTCGGACCTCTCCCCAATATAAAAATGAGGAGCCTGACGGAGGTCTATCAGAGAGCATGGGGGAAGAGACTGTTTGATCCAGTCTCTCCTTGGCGTCTCCTCCTCTTCTTCACTCAGCTGTGGGGAGGGAGGCTGGCGGGGGACCCATGATGCATATTGTTGCATGTTCCTAGGGTACAGCTCCACAATGTCACCTGAAGCATCTATCTTGAAATGTCTTTCTGGCCAGACATTTAGATGTTTTTTCTTGTAAGAGTCACGTTCATTAATGACATAGTATCTGGGGCTGTGGGGCTTGGGACCCTGTGTCACCAAAGTCGAGGCCTCTGGCCCACGGTGAGGTGGGTTCATTTGCTGAAAGTCTTTTCGGAAAAGAGGTTCTGAGTGTACATCTTCGATGTGCTTTGTAAATGTCATAGGTGTGCGCGATCTGTTCCTGTGAAGGTCGCTGGTGCTTGCACACAGACCACGCAGATACCTGTAAGACAGGGGCGGTTAAGTAGCTGTGGCTTTGGTGGTCTCAGAGCCCCACACCTGAGGACTGTGAGCTGTCAGCGGTTCTCTGAGCATTTTCACTGAGGCTGGTTCCAACTGGATAGTGGGTGTTCTGTGGATTGTGAGCACAGAGACATTTGGGGGACTGGGCTAAACAGTTTTGTTTACTACTGGCATTTTCAGAACCCTAAATCAGTGATGTACACGTGAGTCTCCATGAAGAGTGCAGTGCGAGGGGTACTGTGCTAGTGTATTTCATCACAGAGCCCTCTTTGCGTCAGGAGGCACATAGTGGGACTAGTGTCTGTGAAGCACATGTTAGGAACACAGTTTCTCATCCTTTCTGCTAAGCAGCTGTCTGACTTTTCAAGCACTTCTCTGAGTTTCCACGGGTGGCTGGAGGGGAGTTGTACATATTAAACAGTTTTTCCCTGGCCAGGTACAGTGGTTCACACTTGCAATCCCAGCACTTTGGGAGGCCAAGGCAGGTGGATCACTTAAGGTCAGGAGTTTGAGACCAGCCTGGTCAAGGTGGTGAAACCCGGTCTCTATTGAAAATACAAAAAGTAGCCGGGAGGTGTCTGTAATCCCAGCTACTTGGGAGGCTGAGGCAGGAGAATTGCTTGAACCTGGGAGGTGGAGGTTGCAGTGAGCCGAGATTGCACCACTGCACTCCAACCTGGGTGACAAGAGCGAAACTGTCTCTCAAAAAAAAAAAAAAAAAAAAAGAAGTTCTTCCTCATAAAGACTTGATCTGTATGGTGGCTGTGGCTTGACCACTGGTGGCCTCCCAAGGAGTGTTTGAACCCTTTCTCCTTGTCAAGAACCCACAGAGACATGCAGACAACTCCTTATATAAGAAGACTTCAAGTTCTTTGCTAACTTAGTCATTATCTTTAAGAAAGAGAGCCCCTGTATTTTATCTATATTGCTTTCGCTGTGCTACATTCAGATCAAATGAATTTGGGCCACTGCAGGTCTATCCCCTTCATCTTTCCAGGGGTCCTACCTCCATTAAAGTAGGAAGGGATCTACTGCTTTCGTTGACCCCATGTAATGCATAAATGGTCTTGCCAATAACTTGACCAGACTAGAGCTAAAATATGGAAGATCTTGCCAATAATATGACCAGTGTGAAACTAAAAAATAAACAGTTATTTTCTTAGCCTAGACAAATGTTTATCCTAGGTTGACTAGAAGGTTTGCTTACAAGTTAAATGGCAGATAACCTAGGAGGAAGAATTTGTCCTGTTTGATAAACTTTGACACCCCCAGCCCGCCGCCATTTCTTCTCAGTACCAGCTGTCACAGTCTCCTGACCCCATGTCTTCTGGGAGAATTAGAATTTAATGGCCTTGGCCTCCTGAAGCTGCTGAGGCCTTCGGACCTCTCACTTTCCAGGTTTTCATCTGTGCTGCAGTGGAGCCTCACCTGTTAGTTTCATGCTCTAGCCTGGATTTGGAGACCCCAGGGAGAGGTGAGCTAGGAGTCCCGTCCCCTGGCCTGGGGCTCTGGGGCATGGACTGTGCGACTGTCTCTATCCTGCCACCCTTGCTGCTCCCTGAGTCAAAATGGACCACGTTGCCGTTGTTTTGGGGTGTGCCCGAGTGCGCTGAGGACAGCTGGCTGGTAAGATCACTGTTGTTTGGAAGCTTCTTGGTGCTTTCTTCCTGGGTCTGGATTCGGGCTGCAGGGAGAGGGAGGCATTGTGAGAAGACAGGTGTCGTGAGTTGCAAGAGTTTTATGACATCCAAGAGTTGGTCCACAAACAATTGAGATCACTTACAAATACACCTAACCAGTGGGCAACAAACATTCTGTAATTCAAATGATTTCATCCCTGAAAGTTGGAGCTGGGAGTGTAGGAGGAATCAAGTGAACACAGGGCTTTATAGTGCTCCATCTGATGCTCCCATGAAGCAAAGCGAGTACTTAACAGATATGGGGCTCCAGTTCCTTATCTATTCAATGGAGATAATAAAGCTTACACAACAATTACGATTCTTTGGAAACAGTTCACATGCATTCTGAAAAAAGATGTGGTCTTGAGCTGAAAAATGAACACCGGACAATGCTATTGTTATCCTGAAACAGTCTATGTGGGTTCTGGCTTTTGAAGGTGACCTGAACTAAATTTAATTATGCTTAATGGGCAAATAAGTGATGACAATTAGAGAGGCATTTTATGGCATGAGCCACAGCCACTTTCAGTAATCATTATCAATTGCAGGCTTCTCTCTGAAAAGCTGATGGAGCAAGCAAGCATAACCCTTAGGCCTTAGGGCTCTTGCTCCGGCATTTTTCTGGAGAGGAATAGGTCCCTTCCAATTAGTGAAGTATTGCAACAGCTGTATGAGCTAGCCCCTAGAGCTCTTCTGGGTCCCATTCTCATTCATGTACGCTGTGCCATGTTAATGGTGCCCAATAAGCCTTCTGGCTCACAGCACTCTGCTAGTGGTCCTGAGAAACAGATTCATCTCCTTCGAGCTGCCCTTGCCCACTTTCTTCCCTTCAGGCCACAGCACACTTCTACACCACATGCCTCCATTCTCCCTGCTCTGCAGGGACGGGACAGAACCTAAGGAGGCTCAGGGAAGGGACCTGAGAGGGAACATTGCAAGGAAGAGATGGGCCACGGAGAGAAAGTACACAAAAGTGAACCAAAGAGATTATTCGGGTTTTCATCCACATGAATGTGCTGATTTTCCTCTCCTACTTCAATACTTCCTTCTGGTTTTACACATGTTTTGGGATTATTCATGGGCCTGGATATGATATAAAAATTGAAGATTTAGAACAACATTTTTATCCCTAGACTTTATTTTATTGTGCCTAGTTACTTGTGAAAAACCACAGGTTATCAGGAATTTTTATTGGTAGTATACCGCAAACTACCTTAAATGGCTATATTTTTAAATGCCCACTAACTGAGACAGCAGATCTCTGCATTTAAAAAAAAAATTAGGACAGGCACAGTGGCTCACACCTGTAACCCCAGCACTTTGGGAGGCCAAGGTGGGTGGATCACGAGGTCAGGAGTTTGAGACCAGCCTGACCAACTATGGTGAAAATATAAAAATTAGCCGGGCATGATGGCATGCACCTGTAATGCCAGCTACTCAGGAGGCTGAGGCAAGAGAAGCACTTGAACCTGGAAGATGGAGGTTGCAGTGAGCCGAGATCACGCCACTGCACTCCAGCCTGGGCGACAGAGCAAGACTCTGCCTCAAAACAAAACAAACAAACAAAAAGAAGCAGAAATACTTACCTTCTACCATCTGGGCAACCTTTTTCTTATCCTCTGATCTTGCCTAAAATGCAAATGATATGCATGTTTGTTTTGGCTTTAGCAGGAAGTAGTAACAAATATTATTCATGGGGGAAGAAAAAAAGATTTACATGCCATACTTCTTACCTTGGACCATGACTGTACTACTATTGCCCCCTGTGGACAGTGTGCTCTGGGCTCGGGCCTGTTATTTGAGTGAATAAATGCAGATACCTGAGAGCTGAAGTTTTATGCCTAGCCAATTTTATTTAGGGACAGCTAATTAATAGACCATGTTTAGATTCTGCCCGTAATAGTTTGCCTGAATCACAAAGAAAAAAATATAGATCAACAACACTGGAGATGTATGTTTCCACCAAAACGGCCTTTGTAACTCCAAATGAATTTCAAATTAGAAGCGAATTTGTGTTTCTTTGCATGAATTGATGTTCATGGGAGGTTTTTTTGGTTTTTGTTTTTTGTTTTTTTCCTGATAGAAGTGGAAGGAGTATTTTTGCATGGGTGAGGTCAAGGAGGCATCTGGGGCGCCAAATTTCATGAGGTACTTATTTTCAGGGCTGTGAAAGGACAGAGTCAGCATTACACTTACAGAGCCTCCTTAAATGTGGTGCTTTGGGAGCCTCACTGGCCTCGTCCCAGTCCTGGGATCCCCCCTGGGGATTTGGAGGACCCAGGGCACTAAGGGAACACCTGGGGTATGTGGAGGAAGAGAAATTGTGGAAGTTTTGGGAATGTGTGTTTCCCTGGGACTGCTCTGAGAGAGAGGGTTTGAGCCCCGCGGAGAGAAGGTAATGACAGCCGCAATGAAAGGATATGAAAGAGGTGAGGCTTTAGGGACAAACAGTGCTGCTGGGCTCAGATGCCCAAGTTGACAAGGATTAGGAAGGGGCCCTTTCTCTCCCTTGCCAATCTACCAGAGCTCGCAGAAGTGCCCGGCACACTGAGGGCTTGGTGTGGTCACAGGAGGGCACTGAAAGGCTTGAGGCAGCAGCAAGTTCCCTTGAGAAGGAAGAAAAACAGGAGCAGGCTTCTTCCTAGCAAAGGTGAGCCATCCTTGGGTAGTCTTAGAAATAACTGTTGGACATCTGGGGATTGGTGGCCTTGCACCTTAGTGGGTGGCCAAGAGTCACAGAACCTTGAAGATGTGACCTCACTTGTATTCCCATGCTGGTGGGACATCAGTCATGTGGTTGACACACATTCATAATAGCAAAGTTCATTAAATACTTGCATTTTGGATCTGCATTTTGAGCTGGTGGTTGCTGAGCTTTAGCGACCGTGCGATGCTCTGGAGATAATAGATGAGCATGCTGGGACAGAACAACACAGGACAGTGAGTGAACTGCAACTCGCTTTTCTGCTTTTCAGACCACATTCCCTGCAGATAGTTGGCAGGAATGAGAGGCTCCCAGGCCAGATGTGGGCTACCCACTGACCCTTCACTAAGGACAAAATGTATCAGCAAATTCTCAAGTCAGTGAGCACTGGGAAGGGGCCGCTTTTGTTTTCTTTTCCTGGTTTTCCACAGCACCCTCATTGACCTGGAATTCTGTGCTAGTGATAGCAATAGGGAAGACCTGAAAATGGGGGAGAAGTTTTGCAGTCTATCAAGCTAAGAGTACAGGATCCACTCACTTTTATTTTTTTCCTTTAAACCAAAACAAGCCAAAGCTACTCAGCCGAGTTGTGAAATTCCTTTTCGGGATTATTTAAATTTCTGGAAAATGAGATGATGATAATAATGGCATTCAGCCCCATTCTAGTGATCACAGTAATTGACCAAATGGTGTTGATGGATCAATAACCACCTCGACAGCAATGGAGTGCTCCCTCACAGCCCCTCGCTGAGACCCAGTGGCTGTGTCTCCATGGCACACTGCCTCATGTGACTCTGGTGTATGACTCAGAGTCCCTGTTGAGATCATCAGGCTCTAAGCCTAAGTGATTTTTGAATGAACTAATAAATTTTATATAATTATTAGAAAGCAGCGTTTTCTTGTTGGCCAAACACACAGAAGTCCCTCCAAAGCTGGCAGGTGTGGTACTCACAAAAGCAGGAGTACCCCGGGCAGGATGACCACGGGGCTACTGATGTGCCCAACCACGGAGCCAAACCACACGGGAAAGTCTTTCTCAATCGTTTCTGACACAATGTCATAAATTTTCTCTTGTCCACTGTGAGAAAGAAAAACATAACTCCAGATTTTATTGCTCTTGGCAGAAAGATGCTGCAAGACATCAGAAAATGGCTGGATGCCTGGAAGCCAATTCATAACATTCCTCAAATGATTTCATACTAATTAATACGGAGGATGGAAGATGGAGTCATTAATCACATTGCATGTATGTGTGTGTTCTAATCATGTACACTAAGGTAGACTAAATATTACATACATGTGTCAAAGCTGACTTGAATGCTAGATGAAGATGCTAGAGGGTTTTGCTTGAATACAGCTGGATAATATAGAAAAAAAAGTGCTGTGCACTGTGTTTTAATAAAACCATTTTGTGTTTTGACCAGGTAGAATGTCCTCTAGCACAGAGCCATGCTGTTTTTCTTTTTCACTTTAAAAGGATTATATTTTTTAACATGAGCACAGAGATGATTATACTAAAGGTAGCCTGCTATTAAGGAAAGAGAACTGGTCTTGAATGTAAAACACGTGGGTTTGCAATCTTTTTATCCTGTTTACCTGCTGTGTCAGCCGGGAGGACAATTCAGTTCAATATGATTTAATTCCCCTATAGCTGTCAGTCGCTTTGGGCAGAGCTGGGAACGAAACTTACCTGAATGGCCCACAGTTTAGAGATGGCTTGTATCGGACAATAGCAAAAATAGTTGGCAGCATGCACAGAAACAGCATGAACAGGAGCATTGACAAGTAGAAGTTGTTGGATCTGCAGATAAATCAAATGCCATGCATTAAGTTCACTCCATAGCCAGTTGCCAGGGTTGCATATGCCCAAAGAGCTGCCACAAAAACGGTTGCCCTGACTCTTTGCAAACTAAAAATCCTCCTCTCAGGGTTACCTGTGAATGGATCTGTCATAGGATCACATGCAGCTTAGAAACCTAGAAATCAGTATTCAAAGGAACTTCAAACCTCTCCCACCCAACCTGTTGATCTAATAAACATTTGCTGAGCACCTGTTCACCTCAAACCATGAGAGTGGTGAACTCACCCTGGCACCAAGGAGTTCCACACAGTAAACTCAATTTATGGAAAAATCTTGGAAGCATTGCCCATCCATCTGGGTCCTTACCTAATGGTTCCCTCTGCTATTCCCAGGCTTAAACTTGTCTCTTATGTCTCGGGATGGTTTGGCTCTTTTGTTTATGATTCCTGACTCTCTCACTTGGGTGTGATTTGCACTCAACTTCTCTGCACATGGCTGCCCAGGGTATGTGTTATGTCTGATTAAGTCCTGGTCCCTGAGCCCTAAGCTAGTGTCAGGGAGTTTGGATGCCCAGGGCTCCCCTGAGGGCGGCTTAGACCTGTTTGGTGTGCAAGGCCCTGTACACAGTTCAGAAAAGAGAATGAGGGGTCAATCTAGTTACTTTCAGCTAGTACTCTCTGTTGGTCTGTTTCTCTCTCTCTCATGAAAAAGACTTGACTAGAAGAGAATAGAAAATTTCAGAGAGCACAGAATGTAGTAAGAAAGTGGTAAGTTGTGAAACTTCGTTCTCTTTCTCTATCCACAGACACACATACATACATACATATAATAAATATATATACATATATACAACATATATAAATATATCAAAACATATATCTCTGAATGTATTAACATATGTGTGCTGTCACCAGATAAAATGTAAATGCATTGTCAAGTAGGTCATGAGCAAAAAGTTTGAAAGCCACTGATACGGACACACATAACCATTATGTCAAAGTAAAATAACCGAATCAAAGTATTTAGAATGTGTTATGAATTCACCAAAATGACTAAAATTAAAACAGATAAAAGAATAAGTGTTGGCAAGGTTATAGAACAATTGGAACTCTCATATAATGCTGCTAGACATGTAAACTGGGGTGATCATTTTAGAAAACCTTTTGGTGCCATTTGCTAAAGGTGAACATACGCCTGCCCTGTGGCCTAGCAATTGCATTCCTAGGTATATATGCAACAAAGACACTTAGGATGTCCAAGACAGCATTACTCATTATGGCTAACAGCTGGAAGCAACCTACATGCCCATCAACAGGAGCCAAGGATAAAGAAATTGGGGTGTATTTCCTCACTGAGGTGAATCTCACAAACACAATGTTGAGTGGAAGCAGTTGGGCACAAAGGAGCACATACCGTGTGTGTGTGATCACGTTTGCATCAAGTAAAAGCTAGGCAAGCCTAATTATGCCATTAGAAGTTGGCAGTGATTGGAATCGCATGCAAGTGGGCATGCTCTGGGTACCATTTGTGTTTTGTTTTTTGATCTGAGTGCCTTGTGTTCAGTTTTTGAAAACTCATCAGGCTGAACATTTATGATTTGTATACTTTTTTCTAAAGGATTATTAGAAAATCTTTGGCAAAAAGTTTTAAAAGTGCCATGAGTTCAAGAGGAGTGAGGATTCATTGAAAGAGTAAGGCATTGGAAATGGCTCTTGGAGGAGATAAAATTGGAGGACAGGCAGGATTTTGACAGGAAGAGAGTTGGGAGGACTCCTTGCTAGAGGACCCCTGGGTAAGGCAGACATGGATTATATGTATACAGATATCTGCATGATCAGATCTTATTCTTACTCACCTTGAGGCTCGAAATACTTGCTGGTGGGGCACATTGCAGGTCAGCACAGCCCAGCTCCTCAGGTACATGAGCCCAATGAGTTTGAGAACGTTGAATGCTGGGAGACATGGGGAGAAGAAGGCCCCCATCCTGGAACCATGAGGAAGGTCAGTTTGCATCTCTTCTCTTCCAGCCTATCTCCCAGGACTATGGAAGCCCCATGTAGGAACATGGTTCTAAGACTTTGGGGCTTACACCCTATGCTTAAAGAACTGGAGAAGCCCCTGAAGTCCCGAGACCACAACCCTCCACCTTCTAAAGATAAGACAAGTCACTGAAGGTGGGTGTTGATCCTATTTAAAAATATTCTCTTTGCAAAGGACAACTGTTTGTCTCTCTTTTCACAGTTGAGCAAAGGAAAATCCTCTTCTGGGAAGGAGGCAAATAATGGATAACTACTGTTTGGGGCCAGCTCCTGCTTTTGTTTATCTATGATGAGGACTATGTTAATAAATTACTGACTTTCAGGTTTAATCAACATATGTTGAGCACCTAGTTTTGCTGGATATGGCATTAAGCATCCTCACATATTTCAGTTTGCTTACTCTTCTGCAATAGTGATAGAAGAGGTAAATATCCAGTTGATAGACAACAAGGGTAGATATGGGGAAACCAAAGACATGTTGCTAAGCCAGACCCTGTATCATCCAAACCTGGGAGACTTGGGGAGTGAAATAACTGAGCCCACAGGCAAGAACCAGATGATCCCAGGAAAGCTGGGACTTATGGTCACCCTGAAAAGAAATGTCAACTAGGCGACAAAACCCATGTCTTCAGACTTCAGTCTAAATCAGTTTATATTGGATATGCATTCAATCTAATACTTGTGGAATTTGGGTTTAGTGGTGTGAAAATAAGCGTAGACATAAGAATATGTTCATAAGTAAAATGTTTCTAACAAGAAATGTTCAGTTGTCACTATCTGTTGGATGTTAGGCAAGACACTTAGCTTCTCTGCATTTCAGTTTTCTCATCTTTAAAAAGGGGAAGGTAATGGCAGTTACCTCAAGGGTTTACTATAAGGATTAAATTAGTTACTATAGGTAGAAAAGTACTTGATATCTAGCACTGTTAAATAAGTGTCACATATTATTTATTTTTATTTATTTATTTTTTGAGATGGAGTTTTGCTCTGTCACCCAGGCTAGAGTGCAGTGGCATGATCTCGGCTCACTGCAAGCTCCGCCTCCCGGGTTCATGTCATTCTCCTGCCTCAGCCTCCCGAGTAGCTGGGACTACAGGTACCTGCCATCATGCCTGGCTAACTTTTTGTATTTTTTAATAGAGACAGGGTTTCAGCGTGTTAGCCAGGATGGTCTCAATCTCCTGACCTCGTGATCCACCCGCCTCAGCCTCCCAAAATGCTGGGATTACAGGTGTGAGCCACTGCGCCCGGCCAATGTCACATATTATTTTTAATACTGTATTTGTAAAGATATTTTGCAAAATACAGCGGACTATAAGAACACAGAATTTGACAGGAGGCATATTACTTTATACCTCTCAATTGCCATGTATTTTACTGAATTATTATGAAGAGAGAGAGTGTTTTCTGGATGTATGGAACGTCCCAGGTTCTTCTTTTTTGTCTGCTTGTGTTTTAACAAATAGCACTATTTCTGGTCCAACAGGTAAAACCAGAGATGGTGGGATCATTTAAGGAGCTCTCCATTGCGGCCCACAGACACACACATATGTGTGGGTGGGATCACAGGACCCCTTCAGCTCCTCAGTGTCTTCAAGGACAGGATTGCCATGGCCTGGGAGGTGCCATGGGTGAACAGACTTCCCTACTTCCTGCCTCCCCAAGGGTGGGCTTGCAGTCTGGGGGATGACTGTACTCCTGGGCCCAGTGTCTAAGTGAAAATTAGGAGGAAAATGGAGGGAGGGTGGCGAGCGAGGACAGACTGGCCAAGGTCCCCCGCAGCCACTCCTGAAGTCCTCACTAGGGAGAAGCAGCCTCTCCTCCCAGCCTTACCCTAGTCCTCCCTAAGAGTGTATTCTGCTAGTTTCTGTGCAGATTTTTTTTTTGGCTGTGACCAATAGTAGCTTAAACATGGATTATTTTCTTTTTAATTTCTTCCTGCAAATTTCTTAGGAAATCATCAATAAAATTAATTTACATGTGAAATAGTTCTCTTGGAAACATCCTTTCTTAATGCTTATAACTGTGTTTATTATGGCCGTGCCCCATCCAGACTAAGTAAATTGAAATCTTAGCCCAGATGAGGTGTAAGCAAAGGCAAGAAGAAACTTTGATACCTACCAAATCATTCCTTGGTTGTAGACTAAATGTAGCACATTCTCAGCTATTTTGAATTCTCCATATTCAGGCTACAAGAGAAAATAAACTAGTGCGTTAAACAAGTTCCAAAGTTCTTTGCATGAACCCATTTATTACAGACACATATAGACTTCTTTGCTTTTATGAGCACTTAGAGATCAGTGCTTGTGGGGCCCTCCCAGCAAATGGTAAATGTTAAGAAGGGGTGGGGCTGGGCATTGTAACTTGTGCTGTAACCCCAGCACTTCGGGAGGCTGAGGCAGGAGTTCAAGTCAGGAGTTCAAGGCCAACCTGGGCAACATAGTGAGAGCTCGTCTCTACAAAAAAATTTTAAAACTAGCTGGGCATGGTGGCACATGCCTGTAGTCCCAGCTACTTGGGAGGCTGAGGCAGGAGGATCGCTTGAGCGAGACCCTGTCTCAAAAAAGAAACAAAAAAAAACAAGGAAGTAGAAGCTCAGCTTTCTGCACCTGTCTCCTCTTCCCACTTGTATTCTCTTTCCATGTGTGCCCCTCAGCTATGCTGGACTGTTTCCCAGCCTCAGCATGAGAAAGGATGGATTTGGCTATATAAACTTTCCCAAAAGACACAGCATTTTACTTACAAACTTGTTTTCCAGATCCCAACACCAGTAGTCACTTAAGTACCGCACGAAAAGTCCTCGGAAGAAGTCTATGAGCAGAATGCTCGCCACGGTGAAGAGCATGTCAATGATGGAGAGCTTCAGCATCTCCTGAAACACAGGGTGTCCCTGGATGCCACCATGCCCCACCCTTCCCACGGTCACTCTTCCTTCGGGGTGCTCCTAATCTCTGTTCATTGCTGTGGGCCCCAGCCAGTGGGCCCCTCCAATGGCATCCTCATTTCTCATATTTGTAAGTTGCAGTGGGCAGAGGACTGGGCTTCTGGTACATAAACGGTGCTCAATAAACATTGGGTAATTTGAATGTGAATTTTGATATCTGAGGCCAGCATCACATGAAACTAGGAAGGAATATAAGGTCTGTGGTTCTGAGCTGCTGGAGACTCGAGGCCGGCGACTCATTTCCACGGGCTAATACCTTGGTGTTGAGGTTTTCTGTACAACATGGTTAAGGGTACAGATTTTTGAGCAAATTCCTGGGCTTAGGACTTCATTGTGCTCTTTACTATCTGTGTCCTTGGGCAAGTACTTGACCACCTGTGCCTCAGTTTCCTCATCTGTGCCTATAAGGTTAACAATAATAGGACTCTTATGAGGACCAAGCATTTGGAACAGGACCCAGCACATGGTCAATACTATCTGAGTCTTTGCACTGATTATTTTTCTTTTCTAATTTAGAGACTTGGAAAATCATAAACCTCACTGAACTTTTCTTTCTTTTTCTATAAGATGGGGCAGGGACAGCTCAGAGAGTTGCAGGGGTTAAGTGATGAGATGGATATGACAGCACTTTGTAAGGGTAAAGAGAACCACCTGACCGACGTATGTCTCCCAGCACTGGTCTTGTGGACTCTGAGGGTAGAGGCTAGTCCTGTTCGCCTTTATGAGAGGCATGGTGTAAGCTGAAATGCTGGTCTCTTCCAAGGCCCATGTGCTGTTTCTCCTGAGCCCCATTCCAGGCCGAGATGTGGACCATTTCTCTTCTTCAGGGGCTGTCCTGGTTGCAAAGAAGGTAGTAGAATCTATCCAATGACTTGTGTTATTTTTCGTAGCCATTTCCTAGGGAGAGAGAGAGGGAGGGAAGGAGGTGAGAAAGAAAAATGGCGGTCCACATATTTGTAAATGAGAATCCATCATGGACCCCAAGGGTGTCATTGCATTGCTTGGGAGTAATCATTCATCCTCTTTCTCTTTCTAGACCACCACTTGACTAGAGTTGGCCCCAATAAGGGAACACAGTGGTGTATTGGATAGTATTTATTCATCCCTAGTAAGGGTCAGAAACTGTTTCAGGTAACACATGTTAACTCTACTTATCCTCAGAAGAGCTTTAGATAAGGATTATTACCCCATGTTCAGATAAGATTGAAACTCAGTGAGTTGAAGCCTAATGCTCAAGGTCATGCTGCTAGTAAGTGTCAGGTAAAGACCCAGGTCTGTGTAACCTCAAAGCCCCAATGCAGAAAAATGACTCTCTGTGGCTTCATCTGCCTATAAGCCTTGAAATTTGATGTTAGTGTGGTATGCCTTGGGCAAACAACCCTAAAAGAGCACCCCCTCTCTTCCTCCCTTTCCTCCACCATTCAGGATATCCTAATAGGTGGGACAGGTTGAAAGTGCACACCAGGTTGGGTGTGATGCCTCATACCTGTAATCCCAGCACTTTGGGAGACCAAGGCAGTGGAATCACTTGAGTCCAGGAGTCTGAGACCAGCCTGAGCAACATGGTGAAACCCTATCTCTATAAAAAAAAATTAAAAAAAAAATAGCCAAATATGGTGGCATGCAGCTCTAGTCCCAGGTACTCTGGAGGCTAAAATGGGAGTATCACTTGAGCCCAGGGAGGTTGAGGCTGCAGTGAGCAGTGCTTGTGCCACTGCACTCCAGCCTGGGCAACAAAGTGAGACCCTGTCTCAAGAAAGAAAAAAAAAATAAAAAGGTGGACATCAAAGATACCCTAGGCTGGGAGCAGATACTCCTGCTGGGCTGGGATAGTAAGTCCATTCTGAACTGTTCCCCATGAAATGATTATTCTGTCCTGACTTTCTAAGTGAGTCTCATGGCCTGCTGCTCTTCCTGTGATCATTTGCAATAGCTGTTGATAGCCTTTTCCTGATGGGATTCAAAGAAATGGGATAGTATGATATAAAGAGTCAAAAATTCTGGAGTTCTCATCCCAGCACCATCACTTACCAGCCATGCACTGTAGCCTGAATTTCTTTATCTGGGAAGCAAGAATAATTTTTCTCTCCTTACCTTGAGAAGACTCCAGCAAAGTCAAGTTTTGCACATGATTATGGAGTACAAGTACAATCAGTGATGCTGTCCACGATGATGACCCTGGTGTTGGGAGGAGGTAGCAGAGAGGGCAGAGGTGGGGCAGACAACTCTCTGGAATGGACACTCACCTCAATGCTCATGCTGTTAACCTTGTCCAGGAGAGCAATGATCAGGCTGTAGAGATTTCCCAGATACAGCACAAGGACCCTGAAAGCCACAAGCCCACCTTGAGAGACAAGACCATGACACACAAGTCCACGGTTCTAGAGCCCCCATATGGTTCTGGAGACTGTCATAGATGTATTAAGGCAGTGGCTGCCACACTTGGTTTCCTTTAGAGTCACCTTGAGGGCATTTTTAAAAAGACAGAATTCCAGAATCCACCCTTAGTAGGTCTGGAAGGGGTCTGAAAATCATTTTACAGCCTTTCCAGGTGATTCTGCTATAGCCTATCCTTGGATCTGTACTTTACAAACACTAGTGTAGCAGAAAGTGTGAGTTTAGGAAGTGGGGCCCTAACATGTGGTTTATGAGTCATGCTTTCTGGTTTATGAATTGATTTCCCATGCATTATCTCACTTGATCCTCACAACAGCTCTGTAATAATCCCCACTTAAGGTACAAGTGTATGAAGCACAGAGGGAGCTAAGTCACCAGCTCAAGTTCACACAATTAAAAAGCAGCAGAATGCAATTTCAGGACCTCAGTGCTCCACTTCTGAAATGCAGGCTGGGCCCCTCAGAAGCACTGAAAAGCTGTGGGTACAGCTATACCCTGTCAGCCACTGGGAGTGAATGGAATCTGCCAGCAACAGTCTGGATCAGCCAATGATCAAAGACTTGATGTCAGCTTCCCCAGTGCTGGAAGGTTTTGAAAACACATCATGGAATTTCCAGGATGCAGCCTTGGGTCTTACTGGAAACCTGTCTGGGAAAATGAAGTGAGAAAGGAAATGACAGGTTTATACACACTTCAGTGAGACAACACTTAGCCCTTAGAGAAAAATGAAACCAATTGATGGGAGAATCATGAAACCAATTGAGGAAGTTGATGGGAAAGCATCTTTATCTTGAGGAAAAGACTCCAAGTTGAAACCATCTCCCCAGGCCTTCCACATCTCCTCAAGTATAGAGTTGACCACCCGTGTGCAGGCAGTGGGCAGAGAAACAGGAAAGTGGTGTCTCCAGGGGGTAGCATTGTAGCTCACATCGGCTCTCCCTCTGAATTGAGAAGGGATTCCCGTGGGCACAATGCACTTACAGTACTGAGTACAAGGCAAGTCCCTCAGTGTGTATTCAGTAAGTGGTGGCCAAAGGAAGGATTGAATGCATTTCCTCTCCTGCTGTCTCAGCATTACCATCACTCTATGCCTTGGATAGAAGCTAATACAGTCTGCTGGTGAGTTAATGGAACTGAAATAATATGTCTTATGTTTATTACCAGAATTAGCCCTAATTTGTCTGGGGGAAGTCTCTGATGCCTCTGTTTCTCTAGTTTTGAACATGAATAATGAGGCCAATTTGTATAATAGCATTGCCTTTAGACCAAATGCAATAATGGAATTGATTCCACCCAATACTTGCTAGTGAGGAAGGAGCTTCTCTCTTGCAGGTCAAAAGACATGTTGGATGGAGCAGAAAGAACAAGGAATAGGAGCCAGGGAGCTGAGAGGCTCATCCCAGATCTACCCTGGGCCATGAAGGTTTGACCAACTCCATGCTCTTCCTAGTCATGTTTTCTCTCTTTGAAATGACAGTTGAATTTCAGGAGTTGGAAATTACAGCTTTCAAGCCAAACCATACCCTTGCCTATTTTTGTCAGTAAAGTTGTATTGGAACACGACCACACCTGTTCATCGCCTTATGGTCTGTGGCTGCTTTCATGCTAGAACCTTAGAGTTGAGTAGTGGTGATACAGACTTACCCACAAAACCACAAATATTTACTATCTAGTTCTTTTTGGGAAATGTTTGCCAATTCCTGAATGAGAGCAAATCTTCCCAAAGTGGTCTGTGGAAAATTAGTTCTATAGAATGTTATTAGGTGTTACAAAAGGAAACGGGGAGAAACCAGTGTAGACCAGGGTGAAGGTGGGAGCAGGTAAGAAGGGCTCTCACTGCCTCCCTCTGCTACATTCAGTTTAACAATGCCTCACCCAGCCCTACTACAGTAGCTGAATTTGTAGATGAAGAGACCACACTCCAGGGAGGACAGGCAGATTTTTCAGGAAAATACTGATAAAGCCAGTGCTCAAAATGAGTGTGGCTGTTCCGACTCCCACAGAAGGTGTTCCAGGACGTTCCCTTGGGTGCACCAGTTTTCCCCAACCACCTGCTGTCACAGCCACTGACCGTCCTGGCAAAGCTTCCAGGCATATCCACAAGGAACTCTTTGAGTCTATACTTTGGGGGAACCGTTCACAAAGCATTGACTGTTCTTCTTGCATCTGGAAAAACAACATGCGTCCCTCTCACCACTCAGAGTTAAACCTCGGAGAAAACAGAACAGTGAGGAAAACCAAACACACTGCCAGTCCTCTTCTTGGTTCCCTTTTGTTCATTTGTTTGTTTGTTTGTTTTGGAGTTTTGCTTTTGTTGCCCAGGCTGGAGTGCAGTGGCGTGATCTCGGCTCACCGCAACCTCTGCCTTCCGGGTTCAAGCGATTCTCTTGCCTCAGCCTCCTGAGTAGCTGGGATTACAGGCATGCGCCACCACGCCCAGCTATTTTTTTTTTTTTTTTAGTAGAGACAGGGTTTCTCCATGTTGGTTAGGCTGGTCTTGAACTCCCGACCTCAGGTGATCCACGCGCCTTGGCCTCCCAAAGTGCTGGGATTACAGGCGTGAGCCACTGCACCCAACCCTTGGTTCCCTTTTGTGTCCTCTTTTCCTGCCTGTTCTTCCTTTCTTCCTTTCCCTTCTCCTCCTCCTCATCCTCTTCTTCTTCTTCATTCCTTTTCATCCATTTCTTCTACCCTTGTCATCCTGGTCCTCCTCCTCCCTTCCTCCTTCTATTCTCCTGCCTCCTCCCCTATCCCTCCTCTTGGGTTATGCTTTTCTTGAGTTGCATCCATACGTAAAGTTCTGTGCTGAGTGTCTGAGAGAAAAGAAGCAAGCCCTGGTTCTTGAGGCACTTACATTCCCACTGTGAGTGGGCACATGGGTGAGCCACAGGTGGCATTTCTGGGCAGGACTGTTGTACCTTGCAAGCTGGAAGCGCAGCGTGGTCCTGGGGTGGTACATCTCTAAGGCAGCAATGAGGTCAAAGGCTGATGGTGCTATCATGGTGACAAGGGAGACCACCACACTGACCTGTTGAGAGAGCACATGCCAGAGCCAGGCATTCCCAGGACCCCTGATCAAGCCTCACCATGTGCATTTGATCTCTTTCCCTAATATTGGATCAGTGGGTATCCACAGGGTCCTTGGATCCTCCATGGAAAATCTCCCCAAATCTCTGCTAATTAGCTTTTTTCAAAAGGCGGCCACCACTTTATCATGGCCTGTTTTTTTTTTTAAAACTCTCCTTAAATGTTCTGAGGACACTCATACACGCCATTTGGGATTCACTAGGCCAGGTGCGGTGGCTCACACCTGTAATCCCAACACTTTGGGAGACTTGTGAGGCTGCAGGAGAACTGCTTGAGGCCAGGCATTGAAGACCAGCCTGGGCAACACAGCAGGATTCCATTTCTACCAAAAAAAAAGAAAAAAGAAAAAATCTGGCACATGCCTATGGTCCCAACTCATTGGGAGGCTGAAGCAGGAGAATTGCTTGAGGCTAGGCATTCAAGATTAGCCTGGGCAACACAGCAAGACCCCATCTCTACCAATAAAGAAAAGGGGGGGGGGCAAATGCCTATGGTCCCAGCTTGTTGGGAAACTGTGGCAGAAGAATTTCTTGAGCCCAGAAGTTCGAGGCTGCTGTGAGCTGTGATTGGACCACTGCACTCCAGCCTGGGCAACAGAGTGAAACCTTGACTCAAAAAGCAAAAAGGATTCACTAACATTTCTGCCACAATTTCCCCAATTACCATCTCACAGTATTTATACTTCCCTGACCTTGGATGGAAGACGGAAATAACTGCAACTATTACCAATAGAAAAGGAAAGCCTGAGAGGTAATGTAATATTCTTTCTGTACATGGAAGATTAATTATCTAGAGAATTATGCCCGGCTTTTGTTTCTCTGTACTTACAGCAGAAGAAAGAGGAGTTTTAGCTGGTACAGATGTTTGAGATAAAATAAGAAATAATTTCTGAATATATCTTTAAAAAATTATTCATATTTCTATCTGTAAACATACAAGTACACAGTAATTCAATTGGCATAAAATAGAGGCATGGGAAAAGGTTACCTAGGGTAGAGTAGACTCAGATTTTGATAAATTACTGTACATTGATAAATATGCACATGGTAAATTGATGACCATCTTACACACCTTTCTTTTTAAATCCCAACAGGGGGTAATAATTTTCATAGAAATGATCTGAGAGGTGGTTTTTGTGCTATTTCTGCCTTTCAAATATGTACAGATAAATTGGGCCAACTTTTTAGGACAATGGTCTTAAAATGAATATTTAGAATTCCAAAATTATTCATAACCATTCACTTGGTGATTTTCTATTTATGAGAATATTCACACAACGGAGGTGGGGGGAAGATGATTGTTTAAAGAATAAACCATTTGTGTAGAGCTGGTTCTGGAAGCATTATTTGTCATTTAGATATTCAGAAACTACCTAAATATTCACAAATGGCACCTGGTGAACTTTAATCCATGCGATGGAATATGTGCAGTTGTTAATTCCAATCTGCAGGTAGAATCAATCTGTGGAACATGGATGTGAAGAAACAGATGTGCAAAAGGCAAAACACAGTCGGTGGGGCTCGAGGTAGAGAACAGTGTGAATGCTTGAAGGCGTTTTTGAATCAAACTCTTTCCCAAAGGAGATGAATAAAATTGCCCTTCTGGCTCAAAGTCCTTATAGTCCATGCTCTAGGACAAGAGGACTAAAGTTTTTTCCTAGAGGTATTCCCACCTAACCCACATAAGGAACAAAGAGGCAGGCTACTTTTCTGTCTCTCTCTCTCTCGTGTTTTTATTTTTGTTTTTGTTTTTTTGAGACGGTCTCACTCTGTTGCCCACACTGGAGTGCAGTGGCATGATCTTGGCTCACTGCAGCCTCTGTCGCCTGGGTTCAAGAGAGTCTCCTGCCTCAGCCTCCCAAGTAGCTGGGACTACAGGTGTGCACCACCACACCCAGCTGATTTTTGTATTTTTAGTAGAGACAGGGTTTCACCATGTTGGCCAGGCTGGGCTCGAACTCCTGACCTCAAGTGATCCACCTGCCTCCCAAAGTGCTGGGATTACAGGCATGAGCCACCGTGCCTGGCTATGTCTCTTTCCTAGGGTGCTGCGGGTAATGGCAGTTGGTACCTCATTCTTTTCCCAAAGTGTCAGCTCTTTCTTCGACTGCTCCAGCTTCTGGGACCGGTCCACCACAAAGTAGATGAGATAAATGCTTCCAGCCAATGAGAGAAGCACCAGGATGTTGGCAATAATCCTCAGGCAGATGGTCGCTGCCCTGGGGAGAGAAGCAGGCATGAGGACAGCACACAGGGTCCTGCTCACAGCACCGCGATGCGAAGACAACACTACTTGGGGACTGGAACACATCCACTGCCAAGAGGATTCTCTGCCCTGAAGCATCAGTGCTCTTCCAGCCCACCTCACCGCATGCCCTAGAATTCCTCATTTCCTAAGAGATCAACAACCAGTCATAAATTCAACCAGTCTGCATCAGTGGGGCTTGAAACAAACAGACGAACAAATAAACGCCTCTGGTTTTAGAGACAGAGTTATTTGGGTTTCAGTTCTAGCTTTGCTACTTAAAATTGGAGTCTTGTGGTATGCACATTAAAGATATAGGAATTCAAGTAAATGTGTTCAGCAGAGGGAGGGAGGAAGGAAGGCAGGGAAGAAGAGAGGAAGGGAGGACACATGATTCTGCCTGTCATCCCATATAATGAATATGACATTGTACAGTCATGTGCTGCACAATGGCAATTTGGTCAATGACGGAATGCTATACGATGGTGTTCCATAAGATTATAATGGAGCTGAAAAACTCCTACGGCCTAGGATATTGTAGCACAATGTATTGCCCTCACATGTTTGTAGTGATGCTGGTGTAAACAAGCCTACTGCACTACCAGTTGTATAAAAGTATAGTACATGCAAGTATGTACAATACATATTTGATAATGATATTAAATGGCTGTTACTGGCTTAGGTATTTACTATAGTTTTTAAAATCATTATTTTAGGGTATACTTCTACTTATTTAAAACAAAATGTTAACTGTAAAACAGCCTCAGGCAGGTCCTTCAGGAGGCATCCAGGGTAAGGCACTGTTACCATAAGAGATGACACCTCGTGCGTGTTATTGCCCCTGAAGACCTTCCAGTGGGACAAGATGTGGAGGTGGAAGGCAGTGATATTGATTATCCTGACCCTGTGCAGGCCTAGGCTAATGTGTGTGTTAGTCTTTTGTTTTTTTGTTTGTTTGTTTGTTTTTTGTTTTGTTTTGTTTTGTTTTGAGACGGCATTTTGCTCTTGTTGCCCAGGCTGGAGTGCGATGGTGCAATCTCAGCTCACTGCAACCTCTGCCTCCTGGGTTCAAGCGATACAGTCTCCTGAGTAGCTGGGATTACAGGCGCTTGCCACCACGCCTGGCTAATTTTTGTATTTTTAGTGGAGACGGGATTTTCCCATGTTGGTTAGGCTTGTCTCAAAACTCCTGACCTCAGGTGATCTGCCCACCTCGGCCTCCCAAAGTGCTGGGATTATAGGTGCACACCACCATGTCCGGCCTGGTCTTAGTTTTTAACAAAAAAGTGTAAAAAGTAAAAAAAATAAATAAAAAATAAAAATAAGACAAAGCTTGTAGAATAAGGATACAAAGAAAAATGTTTTTTGTACAGCTGTACCATGTGTTTGTGTTTTAAGTATTACAAAAGAGTCAGTTTTTTAAAATTTAAGAGTTCATAAACAAGTGACAGTAAACTAAGATTAATTTACTATTAAAGAAAGAAACTTTAAGAAATAAATTTAGTGTAGCCTAAATATAGAGTGTTTATAAAGTCTACGCTAGTATGCAATTGTGCCCTGGGCCTTCACATTCACTTATCACTCATTCACTGACTCACTCAGAGCAACTTCCAGTCCTGCAAGCTAATTCATGGTAAGTGCCCTATACAGGTGTACCATTTTTAAATCTTTTATACCACATTTTATTGTACCTTTCTATGTCTAGATATGTTTACATACACAAATACCATTGTGTTACAATTGCCTACAGTATTTAGTACAAGTGGCATGCTGTTCAGGTTTGCAGCCTAGGAGTAATTGGCTATACTATATAGCCTAGGTGTGTAGTAGGCTATACCATCTAGGTTTGTGTAAGTACATTTTATGATGTTCACACAAGGACAACATTGTGTTAAGGCACGTTTCTTGGAATGCAATCCCATCACTATGCAACATCTGACTGTATTCCTTTGGTAGTTTCTTAATTGTCTTTTCCCTTTAGAAGAAAGCTCTAAGCTTTTTAGCCTTTTTCAATGCTGTTATCTTCAGCTCTTAAAACAGGCTTAGCATATATGGATGCTTCATAAATATTTGCTAGATGAATAAGTAAATAAAGGAGCAACTAGTGGGAGACACGGGGCTCATCTCTTTCCTAATTTGGTCTCACTTCTCATATGCCTCCGATAGTGAGGGCAGATATGTGAATCAGTAATGATTCTAGTACTTACATACATGTTTCTGGTTTTAACTGAAACACATCCATTTTTTTTCTAACACTGGAGAACAACTCCCTGTCTGACTTCGATTGGCCTATTTTGAAGGTACCTTCTTCTGCCAACTTTGGAGCTTGTCTGAGCCTGGCTAAGGCCTGGAATCCCAGGCCTTTTTGTAGGTAGTTTATGTGGAAAGTGATCCCAGAAACCAGGAGTGCAGGTCCTGGAGTGGAGCAGGAAAGAGGGGCCATCAGTACATGGATATGCAGTGGGGCTGGCAGCAGCTAGAGGCAAATGCAGGGCCTTCTGAGGGACTTATGAAATGCCTGACAGAACTGTCTGCCCAGTGCGAAATAGGAAAGCGTTTATTCTATTCCCAGCGGTCCAGGGTAGCTCCATGAGCATTCACTCCCAGCATTGCACCCAGCCTCTTGGTTGCATGTGCATGTGTGTTGACTGGGATCTTGTGGATGCCCTACACAGCAGCCTCAGAAGATCCCTGGGGCACCAAACAGTGGGTACCAGCAAGGGGTACATGCATGCAGCTGGTGGTAGGCTGCACAGTCCTGCCCAGTAGCAAGGGCTGGAGAAAGGTATGGCCAAGAGGATTTGAAGGGGCACCCAAGGTATACCATCTTCTCCATGAAATTTCTACCCACTGGGGACCTTGGGCGGGTCATAACACCTCCCTCTACATGTGTTTTGGCCCTTGATTTGCACAGTGAGGAAATATTCCCAAATGAGACGATAAATGTCACTTTGCTTGGTAAAAATGACAACATGGCACAGTACGTTATTATTATTACCAACTCTGGTGGAGGAGAACTACAGAGGGAGAATCAGATGGCAGAATCCCATACTTTTATTTTGTAGGTGGGGAACTTCCAGTTCATGAAGTTCAGAAGCATTTCCCAGGTCATCGACATTAATGACAAAGAGAGGACTAGAATCCATGTCTTCTGACTCCCTATGGACAGCCCTTTTCGACTCCTCTCCCACTCCCTAAGCTCCATCATTATTCCAGAGGCTGGGTGTGTTTCCTTAATTCCCCATGTCCTTTTCTACAAGTCCTCTGAAAGGGCTTTCTGCACTGTAGAAAGTAATCATGAGGGCTAAATAACCAGTAAGGATGTGGGATGAACAGATCTACCTGTCTCCATGAAGTCAGGGCCATTGCCCTTCCCTGGGAATGGCTTTCCCTTTCATTAGTTCTCTGGTTGAAGGGCTTCACCCTCACCAGCATAGCTCTCAAGATCTCGAGAAGAATCTTGAACCTAGGAAATCATCTTGAAAGGCTTGTGAACATCAACTGGATAATATTTGTGTCTTATGACTTGTTTCTAAATAAAGCTAGTCTTAACAGCATAAGTTGGTGCTCAAAGTACCTCTTTTATTATCTAAGTAAAAGAGTAAGAAATAAGAAACTGGTCAATTTCAGACCCTCTCACCCTTATTACAGGATCTATGGAAGGAGGAAGTCATCCTAAATATTGCTAAGGAAAAAATCATTCAGTTCCCTCAGATCACATTATGAGAAAGGAAGAAAGAAGAGCTGCCTGACAATTATCAAAATAAGATATAGATGATCTGGTAGTTTTTGTACCAAACTAAAAACAAAACTTATCAATGAATTCAACATGGGGAGTAATAATACCTACAGGTTTTTGCTTTTCTTTTTCTCCTGTTCTTCCAGTATAGCTTCCTTTAAGAAAAATACATACAGCAATAAAAGCTTAGCATCATCATTAATTATAAATCATTAGAAATAATTTACCCAGTAATTTAGCTCATACCTTCATTGTCTAGGACTTTATTCTGAAGGATTCAATTGATGTAAATGAATTAGATATCAATGATCTAATAATCAATTGAAAAAAGATTGGGAAGAGGGTTGGGAAGAGGGATTGGGAGATAGTATGGCTGTAATAATTTAAATTAAGTAATTTTTTTTCTCAAAATAGTGCACCATTTAGCTGTCTGTATAGTTCAATAGAGCTAAATCTCTGAATATTTTTGATTGCATTATTTTCTAAGTTAGAAGTAAAAGTCTATATCCCTCACATATATGTATTCATTCATTTTCAGGTTATATACATGCAACATGGTAATAATCCATTATGTAAATTATCTAAAATATACAAACTGAAATTTTAAAAGGATAAAATGGAAAAATTTAAAAAGAAAGAAACGGAAAAATTTTAAAAAGAAAGAAACGGAAAAATTTAAAAAGAAGTTTCAAAATGTTTCTCCCTCCCTTCATTGAGTCATTTGGTACATTTCCTGGAGCATGTTCACCTCACTTTGGAAACAACTGCCCTGGACAATGAACATCAATGGGAAAAGGATGGTTCTGGCTTCCAGCTGAGGACTGGCGGCTGGCTCTGACTCCGGTCTGCCCACCCCCGCAGGCTGCACAGGCCCACTCACTCACCCTGATGCTGTTCACGATGGCAGCTGTTTTGCTCTCTGCAGCCTCTGGGTTTCCAATGAGGTAATCCCAGGCACAGAACACCCGCCAGCAGAAGGTGTAGTTTTCATTGGAAGCACTGGCAAGGCTCATGCGGGAGTTCTTAGCCATCCTGCCAAAGAGGAGCACAAACAGGTTATAGGAGTCTTAGGAATAGGGGGCTGGAGCTAGCACCCATGGAGCCTGTGTGAATTAGAATAGGCTGCTCCCCTCTGGGTGGACGCAGCTCCTCAGGTCACGGCTTGGACAGCACAGCATCGACTGGATTTCAGCCTGTGCTTGTGACCTCAGCAACAGTTTGGAACAGCGTGAAAACTGTGATGGCCCATTATTGTATGAGTTCTTTTGACAAGGGGTCCCACCACTGTGGTACCCAGCAGGTCACTGCAGGTGTGTGTGCCCCAGTAACCAGCTTTTCTCATCTCTGTGCAGCTGTGATTGTGAAATAAAAATATTTCCTTTGAATCAGTCTTCTTGGAGCTCCTTCCCATGGGAACTCTACCCCATGGGACTCCACATAACATGCTAGGTCCCTCTTTCACACATTTCTTTAGATATTTGAAGGCAGGAGTCATGAACCCTCCTTAGGTGAAACTCTCCCTACTTTTCAGAGCCTTTCTCCTGCAATAAGCTCTCCTTTCCATCCATATTTCTTGCTTCCAAGTTTGCTCTAATCTGTCTCTTACATTGTATGTCTAGTAAAGGGCCGAGTCTTCGACGTGGGTCCTGGAAGGCACCAGGAGCTAACCTGGAAAGCTTCAGGGGAACTGAAGGCCCCCAGGTCATTATGCATATCCTCAAGTATTGTTTATTTGTTTATTGTCTTTTTTACCCCAAACCCCTTCTATCTGCATTTTGCTAACATTCCACAAGTGGGTAGGGCGATGAACGGTGGTTACACAATCAAGCAGAAGCAGCAGGTGAGCCAGCGTGGGTGGGGCCAGCTTTTCCCGGGGTTTGGAGCCTCCTTGTCAGTCTGCATTTCTCTAGCTCCCACACGGAAGCTTGGAATGGTAAGCCAGAAGGGAACGTGGTGATGTTCTGAGCCAACGTGCCCATTTTACAGATGAGGCCCAGGGAAGGAAGGTGAGCTCCTGCAGGTCTCACAGTGAGGGTGGTGCAGGGCTACTAACCCCACCAGATTGTTTCTTTTGCATTTTGCCTCCTCCAGTGATGACCTAGAGGTGCCACCTGAATCACAGCACACACAACCCTGGCCTTTGCAAAATTTGTGGCTAGATCACAGGCAAACAAACATACAACCAAAGAAGGACGTTTTGCTTTCTGCAGCCTCTGGCCACCTAGGTCATATTGCTTATGTCCCTATTGGTGCAGCTACTGCATTGTCTAAAATTACATGAACTGGTAAATCTATATGATTCTTGTATTTCCAGGCCTAATATAGGACCTAGTACAAAGCAGTAAGTGTTCCATAAGTACTTGTTAAAATGAGCATGCCTCTTTTAGCTTTGGTCTTCTCATCTGTAAAATGGATACAGCTATGTCTTAACTTTACAGGGCTATTGACAAGATTAGATGACATTACACATATCATAATGCTTGATATGTATTTTGAGAAATCGAGCAGTCATACTTTTTTAAAAGAATGATGAAGCTGTAAGCAAACACTGCCATCCCCACTAGGAAATACGCCAAGGGCAGCCGGTAGCCAGCTCTCCCAATCTTCCTCTCCCTGCCATAGTATCCGTAGAAGAGGACTGAGTACTGGAGGCAGCCCTGCAAAGAAAACACTCAGTGTCATTTCTGGTTCCCATTCCCAGGTCTCAGAACTGTGGCCCATCCACCCCTTCCCTCAAGACAAGAGTGTGGCCAAGCATCAACCTCACCCCCAGAGACCAGACGGTGTCCAGGTCTTGGGCTGATGAAACCTGCTCCTTGGGGATGGTCTTTCTGGCCGTGCTTCCAAAGGGCTGGCCTGCAATCAGCTGGTGAGAGAGGAAGGCTTGTTATGTGGTCCTCTGGGTGGGAGGGGACCAGGAGAAAATGAGAGATTGATCTCCATGTGCTTGTGAAAATGCCACACATAAGAGATCTCCAGGGGGTGGATTTCTGCTTGATTTTCATTAATGAAAAATTAATCTTGGGTGGCCAGATTTTCTTTTTGCCTGACTAGAGCTCACCTGGGTGTGCTCTCTCTCAGCTAGGCATGGTTTCTACAGGTGGATTATTAAGGCCCCTGTTGGGAAATGGCCCATTTACTTTTTGAGGATAACGTTTAGTTGAAAATGGATTTTATTTCTTTAATTTATATAAATGTAAGAGGCACAAGTGTGGTTTTGTTACATGGATATATCGTGCTATATCGTCTGGGGTTTAGTGTACCCATAACCTGAATAATGTACATGGTCTGGATATTATTTCAACTTCGGACTGGCAAACTGGCTGGTTGGCCAAGTCCAGCCTGTGGCCTTTTTGTATGGCCCAAGAGCTAAGAATAGTTTTGCATTTTTAAGTGGTTGGGGAAAAAAATCAAAAGAATTTATATAAAATTCAAATTTCAGTATTCATAAATCAAATTGTATTGAAACACAGCCACATCCACTGGTTGATATACTGTCTATGGGTGCTTTCATGCTACATGGCAAATTTGAGTCATTGTGACGGACACCAAATAGCCCACGAAGCCTAAAGTATTTATTCTGTGGCCCTTTACAGAAAAAGTTTGCCAAGCCCTGCTTTACTCAAACACATGTATGTTCCTCCCCACAATGACAACCAGAGGAGCCATTTTATGTGACTGCTGTAATGTCTCCTCTTTTTAACGAGTGGTACTTTTTTCTCTCCTGAAACACCTTACCTCTGGAATGACAATAAAAGCACCTGTCATAATGGTGAGCACAATATTAATTCCAAATAACCATCTCAAGAATATGAAATAGGAGGCAACGCCAGATCCAAAATGACCTAAAGATAGACAAGATAATGAGAACAGTTTAAGTAAAATCCTCATAGTGCAAGAAATCCTACAAAAAGAACACCATAACTTTTCTTACATCCACAGGAGATAGAGTAAGAATGCCATTATTGTACCAATCGGAGTGTTCCTTCCTGAGTGTTAACTTAGACAGATCAAGATGCCCCTGAATATCTATCAGTTTTACAGGCAGGAAAAATCTCTAGTTTGCCTAAAATGCTATTCGATAGTCACTTCCCTAATGACATATTCATCTAAAATGGTCTTATCAAATTTCTAATATTTCATGTATGTTAACAAGTATCGGCATCTTTTAAGAATTTGGCATATTTCTTAACTATTTTGCATCATTTTGAGAATTTCAAGGATTTTACTAAGGGTTTTTTTGCCTTAATTTCAAGATAAAACACAATTTGCTAGATGCTCACAATAGTGGACAGTGGGTGAAGAGTACAAAGGAACTCTCTTTCCAACTTTTCTATACATCTAAACTTATTCTAAAATAAAAAGCATAGTAAAAACAAATTTATATCTATTGAGAAAATCCAGAAGCATAGAATAACTTAGATGAGGACGTAGGCAACAATTCCACAACATTCTGGAGTAGGTAGTTTCATGTCATTAAAAAAAAAAAACTCTTAAATTTGTATTTCAAATCTAGTTTATGTTTGTCATAATGAGTAGCAAAACACAAAACATCACAAGGACAAGAAAAATTACCTATTCTGTGATCACTAAATTAAAATCACTATTAGAATTACTTTCTATTAAACTTTTAGTGTAACCTTCCACAATTATCCTATGCAAATAGTGTTTTTGTGTAAGATTGGCATTTCTCTCCAGCATACATCTTCAATTATCAATATATTACAAGCATTTTCTCTTGCCAAAAATACTATTCTATAACATAAATTTTATTGTTCCATTAAGTGAATTTTCCATAACTGATTTAAACTATTCCCCACGACTTGACATTTAGGACATTTCCAACTGTTCACCAGGGTGAATAGTTCTATAATAAATAATTTCTGTCTAAGATAAGGTTTCCTAGAAGCAGAGCTTGAGAAAGGGATTTGGCTACAGGTGATTTGTTGAGGAAGCACTCTCCATAGAGAAGATGTGAAGGAGTCAGGGAAGGTCAGGGGAAAGAGCCAGGGAAGGGCACCATCTTAGCTGCAGCCTAGCTGAGTCTATCCCATCAGGAGCTCTGCAGCATGAATTGCACCACTGAGTTGGTCCCACTGGGAGCAAGGGATCAGACTTGAATCCTACTCTGTTAATGGTCACTGCCTCTAGACTCCGGCTGGTGAGTGTGGGATTGGTGTAATAGGAGGTAGTCCTGGGACAATTCCCTGAAGGGGAGCAGCTGAGTGACAAGCAGTCCATACTCAGCAGCAGAGGAAAGGGTAGACCAGCCAAGGAAAGGCAACCTGGGTACAGCACTAATGGCAGTGGCTGCAGCCTTGTTTGTTTAGTTTATTATGGTTTTCTCTGTTTTTGTTTTTTTTATTGTTTTGTTTTTAGGAAACGGAAGCATATTACCAAAGTATGTAACATTTTGAAGACTTTTGGTACATATTAAAACTTTTTAAAAAAGAAATACTGTCCTAATTTACATTTCTGCCAGCATATCAAATTGTTTGATCCATTTAAATATTCAACATGTTTTTCCCAATTTGTCATCTAACTTTTAGCTTTATTTTTTATGTATGTAAATTTTATTTTTTTAGGTAATTAAATATAACAGTACTTTTTCCTCCTTCACTTTTATGATTAGATATGTCTCCATTCTGCAATCATAACATCTATTGTCTATTCAAATATGTAATGGAATTTCAAGTGAAGGAATTAAACTTACTCTTTAAAACAATTGAATCAATTGTTCCAGTGATATTTATGCAGTAATTCAGACTGACTTCAATAATTATTGCATGCTAAAATTCTAAAAGTCTAAGTGTATTCCTATCTGTTCCTGAATTTTTTGCTTACTCCTTTGATTTGCCAGTCAATTCCCACACTATGCTATACTGCTTGAGCTGTTGTAGCTTTATGATATATTTTAATATCTTGATCTTACAACTTCATTTGCATTCTTCTTTATACTTTTTAAATTAATCTCTTGGATATTTTTCTTCCTATAAGTTTTATGATCATTTTGTTAAATACTTAGAAACGATAGATTGAGATTTTTATTTGATTGCATCAAACTTGTAAATTAATTTTGGGAAAATTAACATTTTCCAAATATTAAATCTTTGTATGCGTTTTAACAAGACTTTTATATCCTGTGGTATAATTTTACAGTTTCCTTTACTTTGGACTTATTGTTAAATCTATTCCAGATACTGTGTGTGTCAGTGTGATCATGGACATGATTTATTTATTTATTGGCGCATGTTTTCTAAATGGGCACAATTATCTCTATGAAAATGCAGATTTTTATATTTGTGTTTTGCAGTTCCCTGAGCTACCCTCTTATTCATCCTCACAGGTTTTCACCTGATCCTTTCGGGGTTTGCATTTTATCTGACTGAAGGAATGAACTGGGAGAGAACAGCAGAGCCACAGCGGAATGTGGAAAGGCCTACATCGAGACTGTTCCCATCCTGGCAGGTGGTGGGGACAAGTATCTTGTCTTCTGGATCTGTTGTCCCATGTGGAGTCCAGTGACCCTGCTATAAGAGTGCCCTCAGCTGCACAGCATAAGGACCAGAACACAGCAGACTCTCCTTAGGCTGTGATTGGCCACTAGCATTGCATTCCTGCTCCACTCTCCAAGTGTAAATACTTACTCTCAATTTTCTTTATCCTCATTTCCCAGGGAATGAAGATGACCACAAAGTTACAGGCGAGACGAGCAAATTTCCGCCAGAGCTAGACAAGAGGGGTCAGGATTAGATGTCACATTCATGAAGATGGCAATGATTGTGCAGTACTAGGCACCTAAATGTAGTATACCAGACACTCCCTCTGGTAATCCCTTTAATTATGGATTATGGCTTCATAGGCCTTTAAGCTGCACTAGAACCAAAGTAGCTCCCTTCTCTGTGCTCCTAACCAGGTGAATGGACACCGGCTTTGGATAAATAATGCAAGCTGCAGCCCCATAGAATATGCACCTCAATATAGACACCACCCAGTCCGTGGTATCTGTATTGAGGTGCGTATTCTATAGGGTTGCAGTTTGCATTAGCCATCCCATTCCTGATGCGGGGTATCTCTTGCTCTTTGAGGAAAGAAAAAGTTTAACTTTTGGCAATTACATCTTAAAACCACAACACACAGTAGAAATTACTAGAGGAATGATATATGAATAAATCCACTCGATCTTGCCATAAACCTAAGGGGGTTCTGAGAATGTGCCCCAGGAATCTGGATGCCTAACAAACTCCCCAGGTGATTACAAGCACATCCCTGTTTAAGGACCAAGAGTCTAGAGCCTACCCTGAAAATGAGCCCCACTCTAATGTGTGACTCGCCTCCTGCTACAGCCTCTTTCCTGGATAGAGCTGTCGGGGATAAGGTCTAAAAATTTGTCTTGTAGTTTTGGCTGGGTGCGGTGGCTCACGCCTGTAATCCTAACACTTTGGGAGGCCGAGGTGGGCAGATCATGACATCAGGAGTTCAAGCCCAGCCTGGCCAATATGGTGAAACCCAGTCTCTACTAAAAATACAAAAATTAGTCAGGTGTGGTGCCATGCGCCTGTAGACCTAGCTACTCAGGAGACTGAGGCAGAAGAATCGCTTGAACCCAGGAGGCGGAGGTTGCAGTGAGCCGAGATCATGCCACTGCACTGTAGCCTGGGTGACAGAGTGAGACTGTCTCAAAAAAAAGAAAAAAAAAAGTGTCTTATGTTTTTAAGATGCAATTGCCAAAAGTTTAAAAAACATTTTGTAAAGGGGAATAAAACAAGACATGCCCTGACACTAGTTCTGCTTCCAACAAAGTTGGCAGGTTGTGCATTTTAACACACACACAATCTGGGTTTGTGCTGGAAGTAAATGATATCATTGCAGAAAGAGGGATTACAATTGTAATTATGACATTCTGAGCTATAAGACTGCACATGGTCCCAGTACAGACATGTATGATAATGTCATTCTGGACATGTCTGCTGAGGCCAGAATGGCTGCTTGTAAATGAAAATCTGAATTTTATCAGAAGTTTATCAGAAGTTGTTCATCTTCTGTTCATGATTTGAGAGCCAACTCAAATACAGTCACTCCCATGAACACAAAATCTCTGTAGCCAGAAAAGAAATTCTCCGATTTGTAAACTCCCCTAGCAATAATTTTTGGTCTCTCTCATAATGTTTATCATATCCTACCTTACATTACCTTAATTTTGTTTGCCTAGCTTGTCTCCTAGAGCCTAGAGAGGGAGATGGAGGCTTTCTGATCATTTATTACCCCAGTATGCAGAGGAAGGGGTGCTCCATCATCCTTTGGCAAGGGTTTGGTGTTGGAAAGCATTTGAGTCTCTGGCTCGTTTAAATCCCTGAAGACTAAGAAGCACGGGGCAGAAAGCCAGAGACCTGAGTTCTAGCTGTAGTTTCACATCTATCTCACTATGTGTCCCTGGGGAAGTTATTTTCTTTCCTTGGGTTCCATTTCTCCATCTGTATAAGAAGTCAGATTCAATTAGTGGCATTCAGAATGCTCTTTAAAGTTGTATGAGAATTTTCATACATGTAACAGCCTAAGGTAGGGCAGCTTTTGTAGGTGGGGGTAAAAAATCTCCCCCACCACCCCACCAGTAGTGTTTGAGGAGCCAGGGTCCTCCAACTCAGGTTAGAGAGCACTGGATTGAATGGCCCAAGATGCTCATTCTGGGAATAAGAGTCTATGCAAGTTGGCCCAAAGGAACTTCTTAAAGGAAAATGTGATTGAAAAAGGTGATTTGTTGATAACGTGTTCAGTAAGGCATGGGGGAAAAAGTTTCACGCTTCTCTGATGATTTATACCAAATCTCCATGGCAAAAGCCTTGAAACAGGAAAAATTCAAAATTTAAGAACAAAGCAAAATCAAAACAAAGAAAACTAAACTTGGAAGAATAGATCCTAATTGTGGGTTTGGATCATTGAGCTTTGCTAGCTAAGAAAAAGTTCTGTCTTTGGAAAGACTTACAGGTCCACCCAGAAGATATGTAACAACATATGTGATAGTTCATGAAAAGTATATTTATTCATAGTATGTGTTAAGCACCTAGATTGTGTTGACTTATCAACATGTCAACATGAACTGTCATACATGTTGTTAGATATGTGGTACATGCATGTATCATAATACATATATATTTATACATGTATCATTATGCATGTATGTATCATACAGATCTAACAATATGTATGACAGTTCACGAAAAGTATATTTATTCGTAGTACGTATTAAGCACCTAGGTTGTGTTTTCCTGTGAATGCAGATAGTGAGCATGACATGCAAGATGTCAGCTGGTATGGAGTTTGCATTCAGGTAGAGACAAAGCAGCCACAAGCAAATCCATGCCACAGTGGGACACGGTCTATTAGGACTGGGGGAGAAGGCCCTTTCAACAATCAGGGAAGGTCTAGCTGAGGAGGTCATACTTGAGCTGACACTTGAATGAAAAGGAAAATTAAAAGTAAATGGGAAGAGTAGCTTTATAAAAGGGGAGAACAGCCAGTACAAGCTGTGGGTTAGCATGAGCTGAGCGTTTTACAGAAGAGGATGGAGGAGAGAGGAGCAAGATAAAAGTTTGGATTACCTTACTCAATGTAAAAACTCTGCTTCTAATAATTCAGCCCATTATCAAGTTATACCTTTAATTCATACTGAGTTTACTATTGCTAAAAGTCCCAATAGCTTTTCATTGTTATATATATTATAGGTCATTTGAATTCATGTGAAATACTTTATTTCCTGTAGCATTTCAGCTTATTTAGAGAAAACAAAAGAGCTTGGTAGTTCATATGTCTACAAAAAGATAATTTATTTCATAAACTCCATCATAGTATGGCAGGAATAAGGAGTCACGTGTGATTTGGTCATAAAAACAGATTCAAATTTTAAAGAAGATTTTTGTGAAGAGTAAGAAGAAAGAATGACAAGATGTGTCCTTAGGGATTCTTTGATATTTTATAATTTTTCAAACATGTAAAATTTATGACCTGCTTTTATTTAAGCTATATTAGAATATTTTTGTTTCAGATAATCTAAAAAGAGTATATCTGTCAGTTATTGTCTCTTAAGATAACAAGCAAAAAATATAATAATCAACATTGGTGCAGATATTATGAGACTAATAATGGCAATATAAATCATCAAGGCTTTTAGAAAATAATCTTTAAATATTTATCAAAAGCCAAAAAATGGACCACAGTCTTTTCTATAGTGATTGCAATTCTGGCATTCACCCTAAGAAAAAAATTCAAAAAGACAGAGAAATCTATATGTGCAAAGATGTTCTTCGTAGGGCTATTAATAATAATGAAAAATTAGAAGCATTTTAAATATCCACCAGCAGTCAAATAACTAATTAAATTAATATACATTTATCTGATGGAATACCACACAGTCATCGAAAACCATTAAATATAAAAACTATATAGCAACATGGAAAAAAATTATATAATGGTGCTATGTGAAAAAAGAAGCAAAATGTATATACACTACAATTACTATGGTATGAAAATAATATATTTATGCAATGACTGATGTGAAATTTCTAAAACGATATTATATTGGGGAGTAGAGGGTATAGAAGGATAAGTTATTTTTCTTTGTTTTCTACAGATTTATGAAATGACTTTATAAACACATAATTTTAATGTATACTTTTCCTTTAAGTAACTGAATGGGAAAAATAACAAACAAAAATCTTAACATTGTATTATAAAATGAGCATTGACATATACCTGCAACTTTCTCATTGTAAGAAATACAGCTGTATACAGGGACACAGTGAATCAAACCTACGAATATGGGTGGGATTAACTCAGGAAAGGTGCTAGATCACTTTTGCTATCCTTTCTCCTGATGAATTAGGCTTACCCAGTTTCACACAATTGGGAAGCGAAGGCATCTAGGACTAAAATTCAAGTCTTGGGAAATTCATACTTTTCAATTCTATTATCCTGATCTACAGCTGTGTGATAGACTGGCACTCGCAACCTGTGTATCATGGCAAGTGCGATGGCAAACACAACCTCCTGGCTCTGGAAACCACAGTGTTCACGTGTGTCTGTGTCTGTGTGTGTGCTTTTTTTCTTTTTTTTTTGGAGATGGAGTCTCGCTGTGTTGCCCAGGCTGGAGTGCAGTGGCACGATCTAGGCTCACTGCAAGCTCTGCCTCCCGGGTTCACGCCATTCTTCTGCCTCAGCCTGCCACCACACCCAGCTAATTTTTGTGATTTTAGTAGAGACAGGGTTTCACCGTGTTAGCCAGGATGGTCTCAATCTCCTGACCTCGTGATCCACCTCCCTTGGCCTCCCAAAGTGCTTGGATTACAGGTGTGAGCCACTGTGCCCGGCTACATGTGTGTTCTTTACCTCTGCACCTGCTGCTTGGTAGCCTCGGGTCCTGGTCAGCCTCCCTTCGAACTTTAGTACAATGTCCTTCGCTCGTCTAAGAGAAGAAAAACCTGATGGTGAACACAATTTTATCATACTTACAATTTCTGCAAAATGTGTAAAAATGCAACAGGAATAGGTTGCCATCTTGTCCTGAAAAATGATACAGCACGAGATGCCGTGAGAGAATGGAGTTACACAAATACTTCATGGTCTAATTTTTGGTAATCAGAAAATGCCTTAAAATTTTTTTCTTTAATATTTAAATGGATGCATAATCGAAAATGATGAAATTATACCAAAATTAGCTACAACTGAATTTCTTAAAGGCCTTCACTGATTCTGGTGCTTGACTGGGGATTCTGAGCTTTGGAAATCCTGGTGGCAGACACCTGCATCTCGACCTCTCCACTTAGCAACTTTCCTCTTGCAGTCAATTGTTTAAAAGTGCAAATCAGACCTGGCTTCAGAGAATCTGCCTAAGTAAAGGTTGGTGTCTGATTAATGGGAGCAAAAAAGTCATGTCTACATAGACATGAACAATCTGATTCACCCCAAACAAACTTCTAACACACTAATTGATCACTGTATTGAATTAACCTGATATCTCTGCCTAAATATTCAGTCCTGAAAATGGACTAAATTCATTGGGATAGACAGTTAAATTCACACCTTAAATGAACAACAGGATTAGAAAATAAATGTTAGTGCCATGGACAGACTGAAGCCAAAGGCTCTTAGAGAGATGAACGTCACTGTCAAGGTAAGCTAATCATTTACCACCCCATGTAGAGATGCTCATTATCTGATGGTTGGACGCCCTCTGCCTATGTTCAGTGTTGAAGAACTTAGTTCTTCTGAATTAGCCATTTTGCTAGTTTGACAGGTTTACTTGGGAGGGTGCTCTGGTCTGTGCATCACAGCAACCCCCAATAACAACCAGTGGTCTGAGTCCTTCCTTGGAAAACACAAGGTACAAGCCAATTCCTTTATCCACAGACAGGATGATCTCTCCAAAACATTACCTAACCAGAGTTCTTGGTTTTGGATCTCTCTTCCTACCATTGCAACATCTTCATCTTAATAGCCCAGCCAATGCATTGACTTCATTCTGGCCAGAACCAAAATGTAGGTCAGGAGCAAGGTTGACGTCCCATGACTACCATGTTGGGGTCATCTTAATAGAGCTGTCTGCTGCAAGTATTTAAAAAGTAAAAGCCTATCAAAGTCAAGTAACAATTCATTTTATATCTTTATTTTTTATTTTTTCTGAAAACATTTAGACATTTTATGCACACCTATTTTGGGTCAAGCATAGTGGAATACAGAGTTGCCTAAAACAGAGTTTCAGTCAGGTGGGGTGGTTCACACCTGCAATCTCAGCACTTTGGGGGGCTGAGGTGGGAGGATTACTTGAGCCTAGGAGTTCAAGACCATTCTGGGCAACACAGTGAGATCCCATCTCTACAAAAATCTAAAAAAATTAGCTGAATGTGGTGGCACATGCCTGTAGTCCCAGCTACTTGGAAGGCCATGGTGGGAAGATCACTTGAGCCCAGGAGTTTGAGGCTGTGGTGAGCTATGATCCAGCCACTGCACTCCAGCCTGGGTGAGAGTGACATCCTGTTTCAAAACAAACAACAACAAAAAACCAGAGTCTCTGCCCTGGAAGAGTTCGCTACCTAATAGAGATGACAGAGATCTTTAAAGACAATGACTGAGGGAGAGTGGGTGTGACAAGAGCTATAACAGAGGGGTGATCGGGTGTGGAGGTAGCAGGGAGGGGCAGCACAAACCAAGGCCCAGTCATAGACCTATGCTGATTTCATAGGAACTGACCACTTGCTTCCCTACAGGGGAAACAAGCATGTCCTGTATCCTCTTAGACAGGTGGCTCTTGCTCCAGACTCAGGGTTAGCTCATTCTGTTTTCATCTGCATCCCGCTACGCTCCCTTGATTCCCAAGCAGACAAGGTTCGGTGCTTTTTTGCACTTTCCACAAAAGCACTGTGATAAGCCTCAGCAAGTCAAATGAGGGAAGTGTTGCTCCAGTAGTTTCTCAAGGTGATGGAGAGGAGATATGTGTGGTAAGGAGATAGCGGAGGTGCTCAGAGGGCCAGCTGCACCCTGAGACCCTGGCCGCTGGCTGAACACATGGCCGGTGTCAGCCATCTTGGGGCTCTGGATGTGTCACATGGGCCAAGCAACATGGCAGAAGGCCTGGCTTATTCTTTGGTTTCTGAAGTGCCTTGACAGAAAAGTTACCATTTGTTCTGCTCTGCCCTCAAAGTTAAAGAGACTTAACCACCTATTATTCAGATAACAATTGATCATCATCATTTTGGAATGATTTAGCAAAATTCTAATAGAACCTATTTTTTTTTTTTTTTTTTTTTGAGGCTGGAGTGCAGTGGCACAATGTCGGCTCACTGCAACCTCTGCCTCCCGAGTTCAAGCAATTCTCCTGCCTCAGCCTCTCGAGTAGCTGGGACTACAGGTGCCCACCACCACGCCCGACTAACTTTTGTATTTTTAGTGGAGACAGGGTTTCACCATATTGGCCAGACTGGTCTCGATCTCCTGACCTTGTGATCCGCCTGCCTCAGCCTCCCAAAGTTCTGGGATTACAGGCGTGAGCCACCGCACCCAGCCAAGAACCTATATCTTTTCTTTTTAAAGAGTAATTGCTCCAATGATTACTTTGGTGAAATTACTATGTTTCAATACAAGAAAACACTGGACTTGGAATCAGACATTCTAGATTTAAAGCTTAATTCTAGCACTCAGAAACTGTGTAGCTTGGGTTAGTCTCTTAACATCTCTGAGTATCAACTTTGTTGTCTGAAAAATGGATATAATGCCACCCTTACTCAAAGAAATGGAAACAACAGCAGCTGATAACAGACATGAAAGGCACATGAAGGAGAATTAATTGGAACCTTCTGAGGATCAAAACTACGGATTACTTTAGCTATCTTTCACAGTCACCTGAAGAGCAGTCTGGTCAGACTGGAAGAACATCACCTGGAACGCAAATCTAAGGAAGAAATGATTTGATGGGAAAGAAATGCAAGCCTAATACATGGTTGATATGGGGGTAAAGAGATATCTGCTTGGCATCTAGAAAAGAGCAATGAAGATGAAGATAGGGCAGTAATTCTGTCTACACAGCAGGTGTCTGATGATCAGGCATAGTGTCTGCTTTGCCAGGAAGCTCCACAACACAGGTCACAGTAGCTCAGTGGTACAGGCCATGAAGGCCTGTTTGTTCCTGCTAATTCCCTTTGCTGTGACCCCAGGCATCAGAATCATTATTCCTTACTCACTCTTAGTGAGTGACTGTTATATACCAGATACAATGCTAAGCACTCACAGAGTTCATTCCATGTATTCCTTCAACAAACTGCTATCAGTGGATCTCAAACTTGAATGTGCAAAAGTATCAACCTAAATGCATGTTAAAAATACAAGGACCCTCTCCCATGGTTTGATTCAGTAGGTCTGAGAGCAATCAGGGATTTTGAGTTTTTAACAACACCCGGAGAGCTTAGTGGTTGACATTTTTGGAAATGGACTGCAGGAAGTTAAGGGCTGTTCCTCACCATCGCTTCAACTTTAAAAAAGAAAAGAACTGGTATTCAGAGACATTAAGAAAATTAATGTCACGTAGATAGAAATTGGTAAAGGTAGTATTTGAATCAGGGAATCTGTTTTTAAATCTTTAGCACTTTATTGTATAGACAGACTGTTTAATATGACTCTAAGTATCATAATAATCTGGCTTCCTATAAAGGTTTTTTTTTTCAATTATTTTTTTACTCAGAGGGTGGTAACAGCCAAGCAGCTAAAATGAGTATCTCTTTTCATATTGGCTTACTGCTCTGTCTCTAGTGAGCGAGACGAGCTTGGAGAGAATATTAAAATCTAGTGTTTAGAAAGGAGGCAGAAGATAAAAGACTCTCCACCAACACACACACACCCAACACAGACACACAACTCTTTATACTCTCTCTTTCTCTGTGTCTCTCTGTCTTTCTCTCTGTCACACACAAACACACATGCACACACAGAGGAACTGGCTTCTGGACCAGCTAGACCTCTCAGATACCTTTGTGACTTTGCTAAGTCAGGTCAAGAGTGACTGAGCCACCTCTCTCACATGAGTCTTTATCCTCGTTCCCATGGGCAGGGCAAAGTGGTTTATCGGAAAGCATACTTGTAATGATCAAAAATGGCCATTGAGGCCCTTACCTCAATGCCCTCAGCTTCTGTCCCATAGTCCAGGGTCTGCAGCGAATGTTTGCCATGAGATCTTTCTGGAACTGTATATTCTGGAAGATTTGTTCCGGATCATTGCTGTCCCCTGTTTCATCAGCACTAAAGCTGTCATCCAAGTTGCTGAATGATCAGGGCATTAAGGAGGAAATCTGATTAGTAGAATTGTTTCCAGCAAAGATCATCTTGCCCTGGGCACAAGTTCAGGTCATCTGTATGAAATGTGTATGTGTTTGTGCATGATTGTGTGTGTTTGTGTAAAGGGAGGGACCCAAAGAGACAGATAATTTGGTAGTGTCAGTAGCCTGTTGAAACATTTATTGGATTCAATTACTTCCACTGGGTCATTAGAAGATAATGATTTCTCAGGGTGCATGATATTATCAGAAAACACAAGATGAGACAGGAGGGTACTTATGTACTCTTGGATTCCTGAGTAGCAGCAATTCGGGTAGGCAAAATAATTTCTTTTTCAGGCTCATTGAAATAATCAGCTAATTTTAGAGGCAGGACTCCTGTTCCCCAATTCTAAAGGTAACATAAAATACAATCAAAACTTCTGCCACTCAGAAACCCCTCTTCACCCTTTCAGGTCAATTCATTTTAAACCTGAGATAACCAAGGCAGAACCAGAATCTTTCTACCAGCAAAAGATTAGCTAAATAAATTTACATGGGCGAGATATTTCAGGGACATAGATACTCTCAAGAGGAACAATTTTCCAACACGTAGCAACATTTACTCCCAGTTACACTTAATATGCTTTATCCTAATGCAACTTTTTGAGAGGAGTTAAGAGTATTCATCTATGACTATTAGAAATAAAAGATTTCCTTTGTCATTTTCTAATTCATATTGTTTTTACCCATTAAGAGGAGAATTTTTTTTTTCAATTTCGTCAAATTAAAGGGCAGCTGTACTAGACCTTTATAAATATTTAACAAATCGAATAGCACTCTCATCCACTTCTAACTAGCCTGAAGGCTTTTTCAATAAACACTTTATTTATCATGATAGACATATTATCCACTCTCTCTTGACGTTGCTGATTGAGTGAACATAGAGAAAACAGGGAAACATATCTGTGGGTTTGGCCAGCCATAAAGCCAGGTTGGGATGCAAGCTTTCGGATTCTGACCTCCTGGTCAAGAAGCAGCCAGAAGAACCATTTCCCTCCATGCCCATTGCTGAGGTTGCCATCCTAGTTGTACCACAACCTGAAGAAGTGAGATTCTGAGTTCATTCTGAAGGACAACTGAGCAGGACAGGGACTTTTTCCCTGGCTCTGGTGACCCATGCATTCCTTCCTCACACACCTGACTCCTCTGCCCAGCTGATGAATGGGGCTAGCTCACCTGAGCAGCAGAGATTCCTGGTAGAGGTAGCACTGACTGGCATTTCTCCGGATGCCTCTATAGCGCTGGGATGCCTTTGAGGTTTTCATGGGAGTCAACAGACTGCTAACGATCAGAAGCTGGCCAGAGAGCTGGGAAGTTAGCAGGCAAGGGTCCGTTCTGAGGTTTCTGAACAGAAGCAGCGGAGTTTGCTCTGCCCGCCGGTTCTCAGGAACAAGACTGTGTGCTTGCAGCTGGTGCTCTGAGTAGGGAAGAATCCAGGAGGCCAGTCATGCATATGCAATGTTAAGGTGGCTGTAGCTGCACAGATTGGCTGGAGTCTAGACAGCCAAAGGTTTGACCTGGTGATCTACAGATCGCTTGGTGCGGCACAAATGATCACATCCGTTAACCCCTTATGCCCTGACAATCCTGGATGGTTTGCAAAACACTTTACATCTTTGACCATGGCTGCTGTTCACAAAACACTGAGGGAGTACAAAAGGCAAGGCTTAATTTCCCCAGTTTTTTACTCTCATCGAAGAGGCTTAGAGACAGTAAGGACCTTGCTTGTGTTCACAGTGGAGTTGAAGAGAGGCACAGCCATCACATTTTATTTTTTCTTATTTAGTTTTTTCTCAACATAGTTTCTATTTTGAAAAAAGTCAAACCCTGAGAAATGCTGATGGAACAATACCAGGAATATCTGTACACTCTTAACCTAGATTTACCAATTGCCACATTTTGCCACAATTGCTTTATTTCTGTTTGTATCCTTTCCCCACCACACACCATTTGAAAGTAGATTGCAGAAATAATAACACATCAACCCCAAGTACTTTCAGCATGATATTCATAATAATCAAATTAACGTCTTAACACATTTTACTTTTACCATACATGGTCATATTAATCAGCACGATAACTCTGAGACTGAGACTAAAAGAAATGAAAAGACTTCCTATAGCATTTGGTAAGAAAGGAAGACTTTGATAGAGATTAGACTCTCACCTCGATATTCTGAAAATAGGTTGCCAGCTGTAAAATGGGATGAGTAGCTCATCCTAGTCCTTCAGCAAAGGTCAGCAGCTTCTCCTCTCCTTCCCTAGCCATCAGCAGAATAGAGCCCGGTTCCTTTGTCACCTGCAGACTCTCACTGTTAGCCATGTGTTGGGATTCTCTGCCAAGAACCTCTTTCCCAAATCCAAGACTTGACCAGTTTCACAGTGTAAACCTCTATTTGCCACGTAACAAAAGAAATGGTTTGACTACAGTGAGGTTAATTGCACCTTTGTATTAACTGAATGGGAAGGTGCAGGACTGGAATAGACGTGACCCTTTCTGTGTAACATTACCTACTGCACACTCAAGACTCAATAAATGGGTGAATAAATAACTGAAGTGGACAACAGACAACAGAGCAGAAAGAAAATCCATCAGCAAGTTCAGATGTGGGGCTTCGGAGAGAAACTTCATTCATTTGTCCATTCAATCCTCTACTAATTCATTAGCAAATAATTGGAAAGCTCTTACCACACACTAAACTGGCAAATGTAAGCAAGAGCCCTAGCGCAGGGGTCCAGGGACCATCAGGCAAGTGTTCAGACCTAGGGTTGAAAGCATGGGAACGAAGTGGAAGGCTGAGTGCCAGAGCTGGCCTTGGGTCAGAGATGGATCCGGAGCCTCTGGGACCAGGTCATCTGTCTGCCAATTTGCTTGAGGCCATTTGGCCTGATGCTCTATCTGGTAACATTAGATAAAATGTGTGCTTATCAAATGAAGAAATGGTTTATATGGATTACTGCTAGCCCCACTGGGATTTTTTGCATTCTTTCAGAGATCTTTACTTATCTCAATCATTCCTGAACATTTCAAAGATTTTTTTCATCCTACTTTTTCCAAAGCCCCCCTGCCTTATTTTGAAATATTTACTCAAAAATTTAAAGTATTTTACATTAATCTCATTCAATTAAGTATTTTGAGCATTTTTGTTTCCTTTTGATGTTATATATACATGCATATTGCAGGGGGAGGTAAGGAAAGGTAGTAGCGAATTTTTCAGTACACAGGGATTCATTAAAACAAATTAGAGCAAAATCAATCTTTTTAAAATTTCATATTCATTCAGGTAATTCTCTCTGGCACTATAGGCGAGATAAATAAATAAATAATGAGATTCAGAAAATTAATTCGGAGATTAAGAATAGAGTTTATTCGAATACAGAACTTGAGGGTAGCCACCCGGGAACCACCAACTCCAAATAAATGGGATCAGCATTCCAAAGTGGAGAAGTTAAGGTTTTACTTACATAGGCAGAGACAGAAATTTTAGCCGGATTGCATTTTCTATATGAGACCAGTGCATATGTTTCTATATGACACCAGTGCCTGTGGTTATAGATTACTGCATTCCAAGGAAGATGACTTTATTACTCTGTGAGAAGGGGTAGTGATCTGGGTAGAGGGGTCTCATCTCTGATGCCATTTGGCCTTTCTAATTATTTACAGGGAAGAAAAGGCAGAAGTTGCAGCTGTGTGCCACATGACTCAGGCTGCAAAGTCACATTCTTCTCAAGGCTTAGAATAATTTCAAGTTCCAACAGCATTAAGTTTAAATTAATTTTAATAATTAAGTAATTTATTAGCGGGGTGCGGTGGTTCATGCCTGTAATCCCAGCACTTTTGGAGGCCGAGGCAGGCAGATCACAAGGTCAGGAGATTGAGACCACTCTGGCTAACATGGTGAAACTCTGTCTCTACTAAAAATACAAAAATTAGCTGGACGCAGTGGTGTGTGCCTGTAATCCCAGCTACTCAGGAGGCTGAGGCAGAAGAATCACTTGAACCAGGGAGTCAGAGGTTACAGTGAGCTGAGATCTCACCACAGCACTCCAGCCTGGCAACAGAGCGAGACTCCATCTCAAATAAATAAATAAAAAATAAAATAAAATAAAGTAATTTATTGAACCTACATGAAGATAGGTTGAATAAAAGATATTTAACTCTATTTTTAGGATCCAAATCATAAATTAACTGAGATAACTAAATAAGAATTGCAGCTTTTGATATGAATCAATTGTCTTTGTTTTTTGCCTAATTTCAAGGAAATGTTGATTTCTAAACATTTTTATTATGAAGTTAATGCATAATCATCAAACAAAATGGAAACAATAGGAAAATTAGAAATAGCAAAAACCACCTAGAACAATATTGCTCAATGATATTAACTATTAATCTTTTCAGCTTTTTAGAAGTGCATGTTTTTCTTTATATTTATATATTTTGTGGCTGTGCTGTATATGTGTATTTCTCTTACCTTTTCCATTGATTTTATATTTAAAGCAATTTCCATGTTTTTAAAAAACTTTCTGTGGGCATATTTTACCAATAGGCTAATTAAGTAGTATATTCTGTCTAGGATGTGAAGCATTTAACACTGCCCCATTTCTCAAACATCCATTTTGTTCTCCCTAGTACCTTTTTTGTTTGTTTGTTTGTTCTGTTATTTTTTTGAGACAGAGTCTCACTCTGTCACCCAAGCTGGAGTACAGTGGCACCATTTTGGCTCACTGCAAACTCCACCTCCCAGGTTCAAGCGATTCCCCTGCCTCAGCCTCCCAAGTAGCTGGGGTTACAGGTGTGCACCACCACACCACACTAAAATTTTTTTTAGTACAGACGGGTTTTCACCATGTTGGCCAGGCTGGTCTCAAACTCCTGACCTCAGGTGATCCACCCACCTCGGTCTCCCAAAGTGTTGGGATTACTGGCGTGAACCCAGCTCCCGCCCACCTTTTTTTTTTTTTTTTTTGGCGATTGATATTTTCTGCTTTTTGCATCATTTCTATAGAATTAGTTTTTCAGAAGTGAAATTACTAGATCAAAAAGAATATTATTTAAGAAAATTCAGTTTTGTCAAATGAATGTTGCTCCCTTTACATTTATATTGATTTAGTGTGCTTTTATTATTATTGGTAAAATGAGTTTTTAATCAAACGTTCACATTTGTCTATGGTCTGTTTACTGTTTCCTTGGTCTGGTTTTTACAAACTCCCTCTAAGCATCCCCCGGCATTCATGTGGGCAGTGTGTTCAAGGCGAGGCTGTGATTGCAGCCTCTCATTCTCCAGCAGGGGGGACTTGGATGCCCTTCCCCATTTCCTCTCCAGACTGCTGCTCCTCTGGATGCTGAAGGGCCAGGCAGAAAGAGAACATAGAGAGGATGTTGCTTTCTGAATGCAAGGAGATTAATTACTCCACATGCATTGACTTCCTCTGACAATTTGATTAAAGATTTTAGATGTGCTGGATACGTTTAAGTTAAGCCAGAATTTGTATGTAGATAAAATGACTAAAAACCCAAAAATCAAAAGGTTCCAAATAGTGTCAAAATGGGCTAAAATTATCATTTCCTAGACCCACTGCTTACAGGATCCGTGGGGTGAGAGAAAGAAGATAGTGAGGGAGATAGAGATAGCAAGTGAAGGCCTAATTGTATAACATATGAATCTCATTCGGTTCTAAAAACAAAACAAAACAACAATAAAATTGAGTTATAAATCCCAGAAGGTTTCATCAGAAGTGATCCAATGGCTTAGCTTACAGGGACAAAAACATTTATTTCCTACGTCATCAATTAAAGAGTTGTTTTCCTGCTAAGTGAATTCTATTCTGAGAAATTAATATCCCTGGCCACATCCTAAAATTTATGTGTGAGTCCAGTGTGTTCCATCAGCAAAGCCAAGGTCTCTTATCTAAGTTTTCAAATTTTTAGCTCTGGATTTTGCAAGACAACCTTTCCCATTTCTGGGATATATTTACACGTCTGTTATATTGTTTTAGCAACTCCAAAAGCTTTTGCTTGAAGTTTAGAAATATGTTTTGGGTTTGGAGAATATTTTTTAGGGAAGATTCTCAAGAAAAGATTGTTTTCAATTATCTGAGTAACAGCTGAATTTGTTGAAGCATGAGAACCATTTTTATTTTTATTTTTGGATTCCACATGAAATCATTAGTGGCAAATAAGTTTGAAACTGTGCAGATCCTCTGAGATTTCCCTTTGGGTCCTGTGATACTCTGTAACTCTGTTACACTTTTAGAAAGTTGTCTGAGATTCACAGATGGGTTGGTGGGGGTGGGGGGTGTTGTCCTTTGCTACACGGCCCCTTGCGTTAAGTGAAGATAGACTGTCATCACTACAATAGAATCCTTTAAAAAGAGGAATGGATCATCAGATAGGTTGCAGTTAGGATACAATTATAATGCTGCCCTGTCCCATCAGCTGTTAAGCTTCCTCAAGGAATGAGATTCCTTTTCATATATGAGTATATCTAAACACATAATCTGTCCTAGGAGAAAGAAAAAATTGAAGTTTCTAAAAAACAGGGGTAAAGGAAAGCAGCTGAATTCCTTGTCAATCAACTATTTAGGAATTGGCTGAGAGTTTTCTTGAATGATTTTTAGACCGTTTGTATTTTCCCAAGTATTTGGGGAATATTAGAAAGCATAGCCAACGTCTCTCAGGAGGGATGATCTCCTCCGCTCAGCATTTCTTCACGTCCTTATAGAAATACTATGTCTCCATCAGCAGATGGAAGCCAAACAGCATCTGGGATCAGCTGAGACAACAGAACAGAGCAGATTCCAGACAAAACAGTATTTACGATATGTTGATCTACTACAAAAATACGAAGTTTATCATGTTTTGCTTTGTTCTTGATGTGATATTTTAAAACCCCTTCTTTTAGAAAATTATCTTCATCTTCTCCTCACATCTCTTTTCATCTTATGTTTTCATTTTAAAGTAATTAATGGTCAAATAGCGATTGCGGTATACAATGTGATGATTTTATATACGTATACGTTTTGTAATGATTACCACAATCAAATTAATTAACATGTATTTTTGACATATCTTTTCATTTCTTGTTTTGTAAAGATCTTTCAAAATCCTTTGCCTTCACGTGCAAACCAATTTAATTCCCCAAGGCAAGGTCTTTTAAAAATTAAGCTACTCCTGCCCTCTTTTTTCGCTCTTAGTACTTTGCCTTTTTTTAAAAATAATATTTTCATAGGTCTAATTGACACTGCATTTCTG